AGCCAGCGGGCAAAAAACAAAGGATGGAACAAGAGAAGTTGACCCTGCAAGTTCCGGTAGCCTCTCCTGAATCTGACTCCGATTAAAAAACAATAAAAAAAGACCCGCTGCAATGTGTAAAAAGTCTGTATCTGTATGAATGTGTAAAGAAAGTGTTCTTCCACCTCCTCCTCACAACATCTGACTACCCGGCATAATTGGTGTCTGCTCCATTTTCATTTTTTATGGTACAGTATGGTTATTTTATGCTGCGGAACGAATTATATGTTTTAACATGTACTTCTATGGGAAAATGCGTTTCGTATAACGGACTATTCACTTAACGGTCGTGCACCTGGAACAGATTCAGTACGTTATACGAGGCACCACTGTATATTGTTTATATAAACCAAACAATTTACACTAGTTTAATTTTTTAAAATTTTATTAAGAATATCATCACATTAACAACTGTTTCAGAATTTTTTTCCCATTTTGTATAGGTAGACAAATTTATAATTTTTTATTCTTCATTGAAAAATGTGTTTGGTATTAACTAGGAAGACATACATCTTTCAAGTTTTTAACTGCTGAATTATTATATCAACTAAATCAACTTTTAATATCTTTTATACTGAAAAACAGTTCATTTTAAATCATATCAGGAATTACTTTAATAAATGAATGGTTGATTTTATTACTAAGCAAATAACATTTTACTTGAAATTTAGAATGTCAATTAAACTACATCTAATAAATGAAACTAAAATCATAACAGCAAATTTCCATAATAAACTTTTTTCCCCAAGTCTTAATTTCTTCACTTTGAAATTGAAAGGAAATATTATTTGTCATTTAAAATTTCTATTTTAGTTTATGTGTTTTTAGTTTAGTATAGTGTTATGTTTAATAATATCATTTGCCATTCAATTACTATAGAAATAATAAAATAGAAAATGTATTTATAACTAGTATAACTATGAGGTATGTCCTAATATGTAAGGTACAACCTTATGTAGCAATTTAATAATAAATTACATTAAAAAATTAAAATTAGTCTTTTGAAAATACACAGACTAAGTAATTTTTCTGCATAGTTACCATTCTTTTCTAAACACTTTTCCCCAGAAGGAGACAAGAGCAAAATTTCCTTTCTGAAAAAATTCTCCACTTATTAATGGGTTGAAAAAGTCCATGACCGCATCTTTAACTTCATCATCATCTGAGAAATGTCTGACATGCAGTACGGGAAGTTGCATTATCATAACTTCCTGTACATTGTCCAGACTTAGTGCTTTCTGATTTTTACCTTTTTGAACCTATTAAGAAGCATCTTGATGACTCACACTTTACAGGTTTAGACTGTGTACTTTGAAATAACTAATTTAATTTTTTAATGTAATTTGTTATTAAATTGTTATAAAAGATTGTATCTTACTTTTGGGACATGCCCTGCATTATAAATAATTTCTTAAAAACTTACTTCACCAGCAAAATATAATTTTTCATCTAACTCTTCAGCTAAGAAGTCATAAGCATCTCCACTTCCACCAGTGCATATATAACTATAAGCCATATGTGAATATGGATCATTTCTCCAATTTGTCACAAACCACGCTGTTGGATCAGGGACATTTTCCTTTAAAACAAAAATAACTGTAGTATATATAATTATATTTATGCATATGACTATTCTCAATAATTTAAAATTAGATTACCTCATTAAATACTGATCTTAATATTTCCATACACATTTCCATAATTTCAGAGTCACTTTTATCTGATATATATGACACCATATCACCACTAACATATGACATTAAAACATGACAGTTTCCATCCTAAGAGATTATTAAACAAATTAATTCCATTGAAAATATGATAGAGGTATATAAATAAATTATTATTTGAATTTCTACCAGAGTTTTATTTTGAGGGGAAAGATCATAAAATACTGAAAAAAGACCACGTTTTTCAGCAGATGTTGGGATATGACCAAAAAAATCGGCATCTTGAATTTTTTTATCCCAAAATCTCACTGGAAATTGAAGAACAATCTGAAACATTTTTACAAACCAATTTAAGCATATTAATTTAAATGTAATTTGAATTTTTTATTTAATAATATAATTTAAATTAAAAATATAATTTCAAATAAAATATCACCTTTTCAATTAATCCAGCACCTAAATTCCTTAAGGCCCAAGTCTTTTTTTGTGGAAGAGGTGGAACAAATTCAATTTGTTCTTTTTGCAATACTGCTAAAGGAATAGTAACTAAAACCTGTTTTTGTTTAAAAAAAAGTTTTATAATTAATATACAATTTTAATTTATTTTGAAAGTAAATATTAATTGAATGCCTGATGATAATAAACATTTATGCTTACTTTAGAAGCAGTGAATTGCTCTCCTTCTTCAGTGGTAATTTTAACATTATCTTCAGAATAATCAATTTTTTTAATCTGCAAAATTATATTAAATTTCATACATTTATTTACTAAGATATTATCATTCATAAAAACAAAATTATAATTTAAATGTTTTTTATTAAGAATAAATCAATAATTAAAATTACTTGTATGATCCAGTTTTAAAGTTCTGAAATTATAAATAAATTTGATTATATTACTCACTGTTTTCTTGAAAGATATATTTAACCCATTAATTAATCTTTCTAATAATGTCATGTAGCCACACTGAAGAATAGTGTGATCTCCAGCAAACTGAGGATAAACATCATTATGATCCCAATGAAGAGCAGATACAAAATGAAGATTACTTCCACATGCATATTCTAAATTGCTAATATGAAATTGCAATAAATTTTCTTCTTTCTACATAATTTTAAAAATATTTAAAAATAAAAACATCAAGGTTAAATTTCTAAATTAAAATAAGAAATTATTTATAAAGATATTATTCATAAAAACTACTTACATCAGTAAATTTTAAAGCAGTTTCTTCAAGAAAAGTGTTGTGCATTTCTAATAGTTTATCTAAAAACATATAAATAAATTCATTAAAACATTATTAAATTGTTATTTATTTCTGTGTGTAGCGTCTTTGTAATGCAAACGATAATTTTGATAGACGATTTTGAAAAACAAGGTAACTCACCTTGTTTTTTTGTAAATTTAACAGCACTGAAGAGGGGTTGGGAATACAAGCCAACCCAAAATGCATCTGAATTTTAAAAAAGTGTTCTTTTAAATAAACCGCAACGTTTTTCTAACCATTGCTGTTTGATCGTCTACCAAAATTATCGTTTGGATTACAAAGATGCTACACACAGAATTTGAAGATACAGCAACCACATCTTCTACATTAAGAAGTGTTATTTATTTGTTTATAAGCTAGTAGAAATACTTATAATGTACATAGTTTTGGGCCCAAAATAGATGTACATATACACAGGATCTATCTTACATCAAATGGTGCCCTGATCAACAGTATCCTCAAATGCCCCTTCTGCTACTTGTTATCATATGTACTATTTGTACTCTAAAAGATGGGAATATTCATATATGTTACATATGAAAAACAATAATTCATTTTCTTCAAACTTTTAATTTTATATTAAACAATCAAAATAACTTCAGAAGTTTATTTAATACTCCTTTTTAAAGACTAGATTTGACTGTTTATCTACCAAAAGTCTATAGATTTAAATATGACAAATTGTCAGATTAAATTATTATATTTAAAGTTCATATTACAAAAAATTAATAATAAATAAAAATTTCTAAATATGCATGTCTTCAAATCATTCTATTAAATTTCATTACTTTTAAATTCAGATTTTTTTTCAAGACCAACACTTAATGTGTTTTTTGAAATTTTAAAGCCATGTAATAAATTTATTATTATTTATTAAATAGTAAGTGATATTTAATTACATTTAATTCATTTTTTAATTTAATTATTCAATTGTAATGAATTAAATTGATTTGACAAGAATAATAAAAAGTAAATGCATTTTTTCTTTTCAATAAAAACATTTATGCTCCTTTAACACAAAAAAAATTTACAAAATAAACAGAATTTCAACTGAATGTGTTTTAAAATAATTTTTAAAGAAATTGAGAAAATGAAAATAAACATTTAGAAATTTTTTATATACAAAGTGAATATTTTATTTTGATCAGTTAATACAATAAATATAACAGTTAGTTAAGCTCATATTTAAATATAAACAGATTTTTGGCAGAGAAATATTCAAATCTTACTTTGAAATTCAAAGATTATATTGTTTTCTTACATACAGTAGCAGAAGCTTTTAAACAGAATATATTAAAAGTTTATATAAAGAATATATGAAAGTTTCTATGGAATAAAAATTTCATAGAAACTTTCATTTTAATAGTATATGAAATATCTATCAACAAATTAAAAAGAATTTGAAATTGCTACTAAGGGGTCGTCCATAAATTACATAAGGTATTTTGGGGTGGGTGGGGTCAGGATTTCTTACTCAAAGTAATAGATCTCATCTTATGTAATATTCTCATTTTTATTTTTTGATCTTAAGTGGTGGAGTTTTGAATTTGGCTTCAATTTGGCCATTTCTATTAAGAATGCTCGTTGTACTAAAGCCATCTCGTGTGACGTGATAAAATAATAATGCTACCAGACTCATGCTCTACACGTTTTTTTTTCATGGGAGAAAGGCCGTGTGGTGGTTTCTCTCGCTCTCTTTTTTTTTTTATTAGAATAAGTGCACCATTCCTATGGGTATAACACTAAGAATACATAAACCAAAATACACAATACAAAGTAAACATAAAATTAGTATTTGGCTTTTAGTTAAAACTAAAATGTAAAACTAGATATTAGGAATTATAAATAGTCTTTTCTTCCATGTTTTTTGAACATAATTGTAAAAAGCATCAAGCAGTGGCTTCTGAACAAGCTTATTTAGTGGGCATGGCCACCTGAAACCAAACATAAAGATTTCTAATTTCAGAATAAGTATATGTTGATCATAAATTGGACAATGATAGATCATATGGTAAATGCTAAATCTCTAAGTGTTGATGAGATCCTGCATTCAACACTAGGAAAATAAAGTCTTGTTATTCTATCAGTTTTACTGCTCAACCATTCTTGATTCTACTTTTGCATAGCGTTGTCATAAATATAATTTTTAAGGCTGCTATGTGAGAGAGGGATGTGAGTGTAGTCCAAATCAGTGTCCTTTGCAGCTGACTTAGCCTCAAAGTCAGCTTTTTCATTTCCTGTATGTCAGTATGGCCAGGAAAATATATAAAAGCTATCTTATTTACAAGATTTTTAATATGGTACTGGATATATGTGATTTTATTGCTATTGCAATTGGGATTTAGTAGAGCTTTTAGGACAGACTGAGAATCACTGTAAATGTTAATAGACAGAGTTTTGTTTGGTAGTGAAGTGGCCAAATGAACAGCGTGGTAGTCAGCATCTTCAGTTTGATAGATGGAGGTATGTGGAAAGTATCTGTACCTTCTAACATATTTTGGACAAAATATGTCAGTTTGGAGGAAGAAAGAGATACTTGAGCCAACATGAAGGGAGCTTTTGGACCCATCTGTGTAGATATTAATGTCTGCATGGTTATCCATGGAGGAAGCAGATGACACAAAATGTATCCTGTGTAGCCTATACTAAATGTGATCATCACCTTGTTTACAGCGTGATGATCACGTTTAGTAGGGTAATTGCTAGGGTTTCTCAAACGGGATTCTGTGTTGTACGAGTCACTTAGATTTTACAAATACGTGAGCCATTCACAGCCTGGCACACATATTTGTAAAATCTAAGTGACTCATACAACATGGAATTCTTATAAAACAGAATTATCAACAGTGTTATAGGGGGATCGACTGTACTACAATCTCAAAAACGAACTAGAAATCTTTCAGGATACAGGTGAAAAACACATAATATCTGTCTTCTCTTAAATGCATTAAACACGATTCCAATCACATCAATTAAATCGGAAAGGGCATTCTTGGTAACAAGACTTTTCATTACTAAAATAAGAATTAGAGTACCTTCTAAGGTACTCTAATTCTTATTTTAGTAATGAAAAGTTAAACAAAAATTACCTTCTAAGTTAAAAGTTTGATCTAAGTTCATTTCAAAATAAAAACTTAATACACATAATAATCTAGAAAATATTATCTAGATGTTTTCTTCTCAAAGCTTTCTTTTATTATTAGATGAGAAAGAAAATAGAACCATTAAAATTCCCAATGAAACTTATCATCAAAAGATCATGCCTATATTTATATTAATATGCTACATATATTGTCAAAAAAATAGCTAAATTAGATTCAAAATTCAAAGCTTGGAGTATCACTTTTTTTACGGACTTATCATACAGGAAACATTGGAGACTACAATAATGAATTTAGACTTTATTGATATTAGTTAGAAGAAAATGAATTTCAAATGTCATACTCCTCATCAGTTTAGTACCTGTATTTTTTAAAGACTCTTTAGTTGTACTATTCCTAAAACAATTGGATTTTTATTAAAAACATATATGGTAATAAACTTTAAAAATACCACTTTTAAAAAATAAATTGTCTTTTATCCTTCTCATCCATTTTTGATATACTTCTTTATAGATCTTTTCATTGAAGGAGGAGGGAAAACATTGTTTTTTTTCCTTCTGCTTCAATGCACATTTCCAGTCTGATTAATAGGCCTACATTAGGTTCACTTACATTCTTAATTAAAATTCTTTTTTGAATGTTGAATAACAAATTCAAATGAATTTTTCTAAAAATATGAAAAATTTTTAAAAACCATTACTTTATATCCATATATTAATAAATTAACAATAAAATAACTAGTTTTTATAAAATTAACATTAAGTCATTATTTTATCTCCTCCTTGGGCATGGGTGGTCATAACACAACTCCCAGGCTGCTGATAATGACTTGCAATCTTTATGATTAATACAGTTCCTTTTTAATGTTGCTTTGAAAATTTCTAGAATTTCCAGAGTTCTTGTATGTTCTTTGTTGAAGTTCAATTTAATTAATTGTTCTTCGTCAAGCTCCAATTCCTTGGCATATTAGGTTAAAAATGTAACAGGATTATTCTTTTCAATGTTGTATCGATGCTCTTTGCTTCTTTAATTGGTGAATCTATCTGTAACACCGATGGATACTAGTTTGCAATCAAATCTTCTGTCTGTAATTGGGACACAGTATACTCCAGGGGCCTGATTTAAATATATTCAAATCTTTCCCAGTGTGTAATATTTGGTATACTGTGCTATTACATTCATAGGTGATCTTTGCATCTACATTCTTCTCAATTTCTTCATAGATTGATCTAAGTTTCATTCTAAGTTAATTGTGTTTATATAGCACTATTACATTGTGAATGCAATTTTGTTTTGTGGATGTAATTTTGCACCAAACTATGCACAGTTTTTTAAAGTACCCATGAGAAATTGCCACTTTTTCAAATGTGATTGAGTTCTTTATTCATGTCTAACATATTAGTGCAATGCATAAATACCCATCTCGCTAATGCCCTAAAGGTTGCTATTTTGTATAACAATGGGTCATTGGAACATGCTGGCATAAAGAATGGAAGATACTCCAGTTTATAGTAAACACTAGTGGTAATGCATCCTTCTTTGAAATCAATATTTATGTCTTAAAATGTGCAGATGCATTAATGTGCTGATCCAATTTTAATGTTAGTCCATATGAATTGGTGTTAAATTATTCTAGAAGTTTCTCTATATCTGGTTTTGTTTTCCAAATTATAGAATGCCATCGATGTATCTGGTATATAGTCCGATGTTTGGTAGGAATTCAGATAAGACCTTCTTTTCTACAGCACATATTACAAGTTCACATAGGTCGCCTGACAGGGAGCATTGGATCAGCAACAAAGTGGTGTACCCATCAATACACCACTTTGTTGTACGAAAGTGTTATTATTATAACAGAAAAAGGATGTGTAACATAACACCTGTGCAAGTTCTAGAATCTGATTATGGTATTGGGTGGACACTTCTATATTCTTAAATAAAAAAAAATCACATAACGAGCAGAATCAAGGTTGTAAATAAATTGACAGATATAGTGATATGAAATCTAAAACTGTGATGTGTTCATTGTCCATTAACAAAAGCTCATTCAATCTACATACCAACCATCATTTAATTTATTGTTGCAAATGAATTTCAGAATGATGTATAATTTTGCTCCCTTTTCAGTTACTGAAGAGGGTAAAAAACATCGAAAACCTTTGGATGTTAAAAGAAGTGATGTATTGAAATTTTTGTAAGGATCGCAAAGGGAAAAAAAGATAGAATTACAGTATCATATAGTAAAAACAACTCTTATCCACATAATAAGAGTTGTTTTTAAATTTGCCTTAAAATCTACAGTTGTTTATATACTTGTTTAAGCAACTAAAAATTTTTTTAAATTAATAATTATATTCTAATAAAATGTTTATTTCATATAATTTTTCTTATAACATAATTAAGTAATTTCACTAAAAGTAAAAACTTATTAAGAAAATTAAATAATCACCATATAAATTTATATCATGTATCTGTCCTTTTCGCCATTGTGCAACTGCATCTAACATAGCATTAAAGTGAAATTCAACTCTTTGATCAATAGCAACAGATGTAGGAGCGCCATTGTCATCATATAAATCACATTTTTCATGATTAATAAATCTCATCTTGACACCAACCTAAATAAAAAATTAAAAGCATATTTAATAAAACTTTTCTAACATATATAAGAATAGTGCTTTAAAAAATTTTAAATAAACTGTATTTTTTAAATGTTTAAATACAAAATTCAAAAGAGATTTTAATATTGANTTTTATTTTGATGACACTTTAATGACCAAATATGGCAAATACCATGAGATACAAATACTGTGTAAATATTTTTTTGTGAAGTAGGCACTAATAAAATAATTACAGTAGACCCCCCCATAACACGGTAGATAGGTTCCATGTTTTATGCATTCCATGTTGTATAAGTCATTTAAATACATGAGCCAATCACAGCCTGGCATGTACCATGTTTCCCCGAAAATAAGACATCCTCTGAAAATAAGACCTAGTAGAGGTTTTGCTGAATTGCTAAATATAAGACCTAGCAAAGTTTTTTTTTTACTGGTAACGGTCATTGACAGATGGTTGAAAGTGGCCGTTGGCTTTTTGAAAGTACTGTCACTGATTGGTCAGCAGACAATCATGCCACATGGCATGATTTGCATAAGACTATGGCTTGGGAATCACAGATTTGCATAACGTTATGGCTGGTGATCGATAATTGATCGGCTGGGAATCATGCCACATCACATTTACTTAGTGCTACGGTTCAGTAAGCACTAATTGGTCATCGAGCCTGATGTCGATGCTATAAAAAGGTTAAGTTGAAGCACGAGTGGGAAGTCCACTCCAGCACGGAAACTTCATAAGTTCACTTCGGTTCGTTACTTTGGTTTTATTTAAGTTCAGTTTGACACGACCAGATATACGTCACTCTCATCTAAGTTCGACTTGGGAATTTTTTTGTTCAAAAATAAATGTGAATTCTTCTTCGTGGAAAAATAAGGCATCCCCTGAAAATAAGACCTAGCGCATCTTTCAGAGCAAAAATTAATATAAGACACTGTCTTATTTTTGGGGAAACATGGTATGCAGTTTACGGATTACGGCTGTTTGAAAGGTTTTCTTCCATAAAATTAATTGATTCTAGACTAATTTGACTCAACATTTCCAAAACACATATAATTTTTTGGGAATAATCCATATAAACTATGCTATAAACAAAAAATTGTAGGATTACTTACCGAGTGTGCACCATTCGACGACGCCATTGCTTAAGCTTGTTTTCGTCGCAGAATGGCACATTGAACAGCAAGCGCGTGTTTCCTGATAAGTTATTTTTCTGCGAAAAATTTGCTTAACTTTGGAAACATCATTTATAAAAATATAATTTTTATGGCTGTTAAATAATAAATGGTTTTTAGTAGGTTTGCTGCTCGTTTAAGCTCAATGGTTTGTGCAATATCTGCTATTGGTCTAGATTTGACCAATCCTGTCACAACACGAGTCAGTGATGATGTTTTACCGTATTATACGAGTCTCTTTTAGCGTGTTTATACGAATACGATCGCAATTTTTTCACTGTTTTATACGAATCCGTACTATATGAACCCATGTTACAGGGGGTCTACTGTACTTTGCGTTTTTTGTTTAATTTCATTTATTACTGAGATTACTTTCTTATCATATCATATATCATTGAAAAGAATACAGTGGTGCCTCGTATAACGTACGCTGCGAATAACGGACTTTCTGTCTGGCCATTACGTGACTCAAGCGACGAACTGGTTGCGGACAACGGACTTTCCGTTCGGCAGTTATGTGAGGCGACCAATGGACTTTCTACGAACAAGTGCGAATGATGTTTCCACTCTTTTGCCGTTGCCAATGACAATATGTTATTTTTATAATAAATTAGTGTTATTAGAATATATTATCAGTATATCTGAAGTACAGAGTGTTGGGATTAGGCTTGCTCCCTTGTTTATTAGGTACATCAACACAGTGCAGGATATTTACATTTATTCAAGTGTTGTGCAAATCATGGCTTCTAAAAAAACAGAAAAGTAATTTCAATTGAAACAATACAAGAAATCATCAGAAGGAGTGAAAGTTGATAAAAACTTCCTTGTCAAATTGGGAGAGGTTCAGGAGTTTACCAACACTCATTATCCAAACAGAGCTGAGGCCAACAGGATCAATGATCTCTACAATGACACTCTTGCCCATCATATCCAACAGGTGTTGAAGAAGAGAGAGTAACAGACCACCTTGGACATGTTTTTCAAGAAGCCAGCAGGGAAAATACAAAGGATGGAACAAGAGAAGTTGACCCCACAAGCTCCGGTAGCCTCTCCTGAATCTGAATCCGATTAAACAATAAAAAAAAAAGACCCGCTGCAATGTGTAAAAAGTCTGTATCTGTATGAATGTGTGAAGAAAGTGTTCCTCCACCTCCTCCTCACAACATCTGACTACCCGGCATAATTGGTGACTGCTCCATTTTCATTTTTTTATGGTACAGTATGGTTATTTTATGCTGCGGAACGAATTATATGTTTTAACATGTACTTCTATGGGAAAATGCGTTTCGTATAACGGACTATTCACTTAACGGTCGTGCACCTGGAACAGATTCAGTACGTTATACGAGGCACCACTGTATATTGTTTATATAAACCAAACAATTTACACTAGTTTAATTTTTTAAAATTTTATTAAGAATATCATCACATTAACAACTGTTTCAGAATTTTTTTCCCATTTTGTATAGGTAGACAAATTTATAATTTTTTATTCTTCATTGAAAAATGTGTTTGGTATTAACTAGGAAGACATACATCTTTCAAGTTTTTAACTGCTGAATTATTATATCAACTAAATCAACTTTTAATATCTTTTATACTGAAAAACAGTTCATTTTAAATCATATCAGGAATTACTTTAATAAATGAATGGTTGATTTTATTACTAAGCAAATAACATTTTACTTGAAATTTAGAATGTCAATTAAACTACATCTAATAAATGAAACTAAAATCATAACAGCAAATTTCCATAATAAACTTTTTTCCCCAAGTCTTAATTTCTTCACTTTGAAATTGAAAGGAAATATTATTTGTCATTTAAAATTTCTATTTTAGTTTATGTGTTTTTAGTTTAGTATAGTGTTATGTTTAATAATATCATTTGCCATTCAATTACTATAGAAATAATAAAATAGAAAATGTATTTATAACTAGTATAACTATGAGGTATGTCCTAATATGTAAGGTACAACCTTATGTAGCAATTTAATAATAAATTACATTAAAAAATTAAAATTAGTCTTTTGAAAATACACAGACTAAGTAATTTTTCTGCATAGTTACCATTCTTTTCTAAACACTTTTCCCCAGAAGGAGACAAGAGCAAAATTTCCTTTCTGAAAAAATTCTCCACTTATTAATGGGTTGAAAAAGTCCATGACCGCATCTTTAACTTCATCATCATCTGAGAAATGTCTGACATGCAGTACGGGAAGTTGCATTATCATAACTTCCTGTACATTGTCCAGACTTAGTGCTTTCTGATTTTTACCTTTTTGAACCTATTAAGAAGCATCTTGATGACTCACACTTTACAGGTTTAGACTGTGTACTTTGAAATAACTAATTTAATTTTTTAATGTAATTTGTTATTAAATTGTTATAAAAGATTGTATCTTACTTTTGGGACATGCCCTGCATTATAAATAATTTCTTAAAAACTTACTTCACCAGCAAAATATAATTTTTCATCTAACTCTTCAGCTAAGAAGTCATAAGCATCTCCACTTCCACCAGTGCATATATAACTATAAGCCATATGTGAATATGGATCATTTCTCCAATTTGTCACAAACCACGCTGTTGGATCAGGGACATTTTCCTTTAAAACAAAAATAACTGTAGTATATATAATTATATTTATGCATATGACTATTCTCAATAATTTAAAATTAGATTACCTCATTAAATACTGATCTTAATATTTCCATACACATTTCCATAATTTCAGAGTCACTTTTATCTGATATATATGACACCATATCACCACTAACATATGACATTAAAACATGACAGTTTCCATCCTAAGAGATTATTAAACAAATTAATTCCATTGAAAATATGATAGAGGTATATAAATAAATTATTATTTGAATTTCTACCAGAGTTTTATTTTGAGGGGAAAGATCATAAAATACTGAAAAAAGACCACGTTTTTCAGCAGATGTTGGGATATGACCAAAAAAATCGGCATCTTGAATTTTTTTATCCCAAAATCTCACTGGAAATTGAAGAACAATCTGAAACATTTTTACAAACCAATTTAAGCATATTAATTTAAATGTAATTTGAATTTTTTATTTAATAATATAATTTAAATTAAAAATATAATTTCAAATAAAATATCACCTTTTCAATTAATCCAGCACCTAAATTCCTTAAGGCCCAAGTCTTTTTTTGTGGAAGAGGTGGAACAAATTCAATTTGTTCTTTTTGCAATACTGCTAAAGGAATAGTAACTAAAACCTGTTTTTGTTTAAAAAAAAGTTTTATAATTAATATACAATTTTAATTTATTTTGAAAGTAAATATTAATTGAATGCCTGATGATAATAAACATTTATGCTTACTTTAGAAGCAGTGAATTTCTCTCCTTCTTCAGTGGTAATTTTAACATTATCTTCAGAATAATCAATTTTTTTAATCTGCAAAATTATATTAAATTTCATACATTTATTTACTAAGATACTATCATTCATAAAAACAAAATTATAATTTAAATGTTTTTTATTAAGAATAAATCAATAATTAAAATTACTTGTATGATCCAGTTTTAAAGTTCTGAAATTATAAATAAATTTGATTATATTACTCACTGTTTTCTTGAAAGATATATTTAACCCATTAATTAATCTTTCTAATAATGTCATGTAGCCACACTGAAGAATAGTGTGATCTCCAGCAAACTGAGGATAAACATCATTATGATCCCAATGAAGAGCAGATACAAAATGAAGATTACTTCCACATGCATATTCTAAATTGCTAATATGAAATTGCAATAAATTTTCTTCTTTCTACATAATTTTAAAAATATTTAAAAATAAAAACATCAAGGTTAAATTTCTAAATTAAAATAAGAAATTATTTATAAAGATATTATTCATAAAAACTACTTACATCAGTAAATTTTAAAGCAGTTTCTTCAAGAAAAGTGTTGTGCATTTCTAATAGTTTATCTAAAAACATATAAATAAATTCATTAAAACATTATTAAATTGTTATTTATTTCTGTGTGTAGCGTCTTTGTAATGCAAACGATAATTTTGATAGACGATTTTGAAAAACAAGGTAACTCACCTTGTTTTTTTGTAAATTTAACAGCACTGAAGAGGGGTTGGGAATACAAGCCAACCCAAAATGCATCTGAATTTTAAAAAAGTGTTCTTTTAAATAAACCGCAACGTTTTTCTAACCATTGCTGTTTGATCGTCTACCAAAATTATCGTTTGGATTACAAAGATGCTACACACAGAATTTGAAGATACAGCAACCACATCTTCTACATTAAGAAGTGTTATTTATTTGTTTATAAGCTAGTAGAAATACTTATAATGTACATAGTTTTGGGCCCAAAATAGATGTACATATACACAGGATCTATCTTACATCAAATGGTGCCCTGATCAACAGTATCCTCAAATGTCCCTTCTGCTACTTGTTATCATATGTACTATTTGTACTCTAAAAGATGGGAATATTCATATATGTTACATATGAAAAACAATAATTCATTTTCTTCAAACTTTTAATTTTATATTAAACAATCAAAATAACTTCAGAAGTTTATTTAATACTCCTTTTTAAAGACTAGATTTGACTGTTTATCTACCAAAAGTCTATAGATTTAAATATGACAAATTGTCAGATTAAATTATTATATTTAAAGTTCATATTACAAAAAATTAATAATAAATAAAAATTTCTAAATATGCATGTCTTCAAATCATTCTATTAAATTTCATTACTTTTAAATTCAGATTTTTTTTCAAGACCAACACTTAATGTGTTTTTTGAAATTTTAAAGCCATGTAATAAATTTATTATTATTTATTAAATAGTAAGTGATATTTAATTACATTTAATTCATTTTTTAATTTAATTATTCAATTGTAATGAATTAAATTGATTTGACAAGAATAATAAAAAGTAAATGCATTTTTTCTTTTCAATAAAAACATTTATGCTCCTTTAACACAAAAAAAATTTACAAAATAAACAGAATTTCAACTGAATGTGTTTTAAAATAATTTTTAAAGAAATTGAGAAAATGAAAATAAACATTTAGAAATTTTTTATATACAAAGTGAATATTTTATTTTGATCAGTTAATACAATAAATATAACAGTTAGTTAAGCTCATATTTAAATATAAACAGATTTTTGGCAGAGAAATATTCAAATCTTACTTTGAAATTCAAAGATTATATTGTTTTCTTACATACAGTAGCAGAAGCTTTTAAACAGAATATATTAAAAGTTTATATAAAGAATATATGAAAGTTTCTATGGAATAAAAATTTCATAGAAACTTTCATTTTAATAGTATATGAAATATCTATCAACAAATTAAAAAGAATTTGAAATTGCTACTAAGGGGTCGTCCATAAATTACATAAGGTATTTTGGGGTGGGTGGGGTCAGGATTTCTTACTCAAAGTAATAGATCTCATCTTATGTAATATTCTCATTTTTATTTTTTGATCTTAAGTGGTGGAGTTTTGAATTTGGCTTCAATTTGGCCATTTCTATTAAGAATGCTCGTTGTACTAAAGCCATCTCGTGTGACGTGATAAAATAATAATGCTACCAGACTCATGCTCTACACGTTTTTTTTTCATGGGAGAAAGGCCGTGTGGTGGTTTCTCTCGCTCTCTTTTTTTTTTTATTAGAATAAGTGCACCATTCCTATGGGTATAACACTAAGAATACATAAACCAAAATACACAATACAAAGTAAACATAAAATTAGTATTTGGCTTTTAGTTAAAACTAAAATGTAAAACTAGATATTAGGAATTATAAATAGTCTTTTCTTCCATGTTTTTGAACATAATTGTAAAAAGCATCAAGCAGTGGCTTCTGAACAAGCTTATTTAGTGGGCATGGCCACCTGAAACCAAACATAAAGATTTCTAATTTCAGAATAAGTATATGTTGATCATAAATTGGACAATGATAGATCATATGGTAAATGCTAAATCTCTAAGTGTTGATGAGATCCTGCATTCAACACTAGGAAAATAAAGTCTTGTTATTCTATCAGTTTTACTGCTCAACCATTCTTGATTCTACTTTTGCATAGCGTTGTCATAAATATAATTTTTAAGGCTGCTATGTGAGAGAGGGATGTGAGTGTAGTCCAAATCAGTGTCCTTTGCAGCTGACTTAGCCTCAAAGTCAGCTTTTTCATTTCCTGTATGTCAGTATGGCCAGGAAAATATATAAAAGCTATCTTATTTACAAGATTTTTAATATGGTACTGGATATATGTGATTTTATTGCTATTGCAATTGGGATTTAGTAGAGCTTTTAGGACAGACTGAGAATCACTGTAAATGTTAATAGACAGAGTTTTGTTTGGTAGTGAAGTGGCCAAATGAACAGCGTGGTAGTCAGCATCTTCAGTTTGATAGATGGAGGTATGTGGAAAGTATCTGTACCTTCTAACATATTTTGGACAAAATATGTCAGTTTGGAGGAAGAAAGAGATACTTGAGCCAACATGAAGGGAGCTTTTGGACCCATCTGTGTAGATATTAATGTCTGCATGGTTATCCATGGAGGAAGCAGATGACACAAAATGTATCCTGTGTAGCCTATACTAAATGTGATCATCACCTTGTTTACAGCGTGATGATCACGTTTAGTAGGGTAATTGCTAGGGTTTCTCAAACGGGATTCTGTGTTGTACGAGTCACTTAGATTTTACAAATACGTGAGCCATTCACAGCCTGGCACACATATTTGTAAAATCTAAGTGACTCATACAACATGGAATTCTTATAAAACAGAATTATCAACAGTGTTATAGGGGGATCGACTGTACTACAATCTCAAAAACGAACTAGAAATCTTTCAGGATACAGGTGAAAAACACATAATATCTGTCTTCTCTTAAATGCATTAAACACGATTCCAATCACATCAATTAAATCGGAAAGGGCATTCTTGGTAACAAGACTTTTCATTACTAAAATAAGAATTAGAGTACCTTCTAAGGTACTCTAATTCTTATTTTAGTAATGAAAAGTTAAACAAAAATTACCTTCTAAGTTAAAAGTTTGATCTAAGTTCATTTCAAAATAAAAACTTAATACACATAATAATCTAGAAAATATTATCTAGATGTTTTCTTCTCAAAGCTTTCTTTTATTATTAGATGAGAAAGAAAATAGAACCATTAAAATTCCCAATGAAACTTATCATCAAAAGATCATGCCTATATTTATATTAATATGCTACATATATTGTCAAAAAAATAGCTAAATTAGATTCAAAATTCAAAGCTTGGAGTATCACTTTTTTTACGGACTTATCATACAGGAAACATTGGAGACTACAATAATGAATTTAGACTTTATTGATATTAGTTAGAAGAAAATGAATTTCAAATGTCATACTCCTCATCAGTTTAGTACCTGTATTTTTTAAAGACTCTTTAGTTGTACTATTCCTAAAACAATTGGATTTTTATTAAAAACATATATGGTAATAAACTTTAAAAATACCACTTTTAAAAAATAAATTGTCTTTTATCCTTCTCATCCATTTTTGATATACTTCTTTATAGATCTTTTCATTGAAGGAGGAGGGAAAACATTGTTTTTTTTCCTTCTGCTTCAATGCACATTTCCAGTCTGATTAATAGGCCTACATTAGGTTCACTTACATTCTTAATTAAAATTCTTTTTTGAATGTTGAATAACAAATTCAAATGAATTTTTCTAAAAATATGAAAAATTTTTAAAAACCATTACTTTATATCCATATATTAATAAATTAACAATAAAATAACTAGTTTTTATAAAATTAACATTAAGTCATTATTTTATCTCCTCCTTGGGCATGGGTGGTCATAACACAACTCCCAGGCTGCTGATAATGACTTGCAATCTTTATGATTAATACAGTTCCTTTTTAATGTTGCTTTGAAAATTTCTAGAATTTCCAGAGTTCTTGTATGTTCTTTGTTGAAGTTCAATTTAATTAATTGTTCTTCGTCAAGCTCCAATTCCTTGGCATATTAGGTTAAAAATGTAACAGGATTATTCTTTTCAATGTTGTATCGATGCTCTTTGCTTCTTTAATTGGTGAATCTATCTGTAACACCGATGGATACTAGTTTGCAATCAAATCTTCTGTCTGTAATTGGGACACAGTATACTCCAGGGGCCTGATTTAAATATATTCAAATCTTTCCCAGTGTGTAATATTTGGTATACTGTGCTATTACATTCATAGGTGATCTTTGCATCTACATTCTTCTCAATTTCTTCATAGATTGATCTAAGTTTCATTCTAAGTTAATTGTGTTTATATAGCACTATTACATTGTGAATGCAATTTTGTTTTGTGGATGTAATTTTGCACCAAACTATGCACAGTTTTTTAAAGTACCCATGAGAAATTGCCACTTTTTCAAATGTGATTGAGTTCTTTATTCATGTCTAACATATTAGTGCAATGCATAAATACCCATCTCGCTAATGCCCTAAAGGTTGCTATTTTGTATAACAATGGGTCATTGGAACATGCTGGCATAAAGAATGGAAGATACTCCAGTTTATAGTAAACACTAGTGGTAATGCATCCTTCTTTGAAATCAATATTTATGTCTTAAAATGTGCAGATGCATTAATGTGCTGATCCAATTTTAATGTTAGTCCATATGAATTGGTGTTAAATTATTCTAGAAGTTTCTCTATATCTGGTTTTGTTTTCCAAATTATAGAATGCCATCGATGTATCTGGTATATAGTCCGATGTTTGGTAGGAATTCAGATAAGACCTTCTTTTCTACAGCACATATTACAAGTTCACATAGGTCGCCTGACAGGGAGCATTGGATCAGCAACAAAGTGGTGTACCCATCAATACACCACTTTGTTGTACGAAAGTGTTATTATTATAACAGAAAAAGGATGTGTAACATAACACCTGTGCAAGTTCTAGAATCTGATTATGGTATTGGGTGGACACTTCTATATTCTTAAATAAAAAAAAATCACATAACGAGCAGAATCAAGGTTGTAAATAAATTGACAGATATAGTGATATGAAATCTAAAACTGTGATGTGTTCATTGTCCATTAACAAAAGCTCATTCAATCTACATACCAACCATCATTTAATTTATTGTTGCAAATGAATTTCAGAATGATGTATAATTTTGCTCCCTTTTCAGTTACTGAAGAGGGTAAAAAACATCGAAAACCTTTGGATGTTAAAAGAAGTGATGTATTGAAATTTTTGTAAGGATCGCAAAGGGAAAAAAAGATAGAATTACAGTATCATATAGTAAAAACAACTCTTATCCACATAATAAGAGTTGTTTTTAAATTTGCCTTAAAATCTACAGTTGTTTATATACTTGTTTAAGCAACTAAAAATTTTTTTAAATTAATAATTATATTCTAATAAAATGTTTATTTCATATAATTTTTCTTATAACATAATTAAGTAATTTCACTAAAAGTAAAAACTTATTAAGAAAATTAAATAATCACCATATAAATTTATATCATGTATCTGTCCTTTTCGCCATTGTGCAACTGCATCTAACATAGCATTAAAGTGAAATTCAACTCTTTGATCAATAGCAACAGATGTAGGAGCGCCATTGTCATCATATAAATCACATTTTTCATGATTAATAAATCTCATCTTGACACCAACCTAAATAAAAAATTAAAAGCATATTTAATAAAACTTTTCTAACATATATAAGAATAGTGCTTTAAAAAATTTTAAATAAACTGTATTTTTTAAATGTTTAAATACAAAATTCAAAAGAGATTTTAATATTGAATTTACTTTATCCAAAAATTTGAACTAATTAGATTTGATTGTATTTATAATTATTTTCCTTATTTAAATATTATTTTAAAGACATGTTCATCAATTACTAACTAAAAACTAATTAAATTATTTTATAAAATTCCTTATAATATTAATATTAAATTCCTTATAATATTCCTTAAAATATTAATTTAAATGCTATGAAACAGTTCTGTTAAGTTCCATCAATTATAAAGGTAGAATACATAATCTCTCTGATTTGACCAAATTTGTTCTTTCTGATAAGATTGTTTCAATCAACATCTAGCATTTTCTAAATGAGATGTAAGAAATAATGCATAAGAACCAAGATAAAAAAATACAAATTATGTAAGTTTTTCAAAAGAAAAAGAAAGAACAAAAATACACAAACAGTAGAACTTGATTCTATAGGAAAATCAAAACTTGATACTATTCTAACAACACACAAATCAGTGCAAAAGTCCTGCAACCACCTTAAGTAAATATGTATTTTTAACATTTAATTTAAACCCATTTTGAAAATTAATGACAATTCCAAATATAATAATCCACCATTTTGAAGACAATTCTGTAAGGAATTCAAATGTTTTGACAGAATTATAATATCAGCATTATTTTAAAATTTATGATAAAAAGACTGACTCTTGAAAAACACAAGTGACCAAAAAAAAAGTGAAATCTGTTAGCTCAATCTACCACAGTTTTCTTGGATATCCAATTTCTGTCATAACAGGTGCCTGTCACATGTAACAGTCATTTCAAAGTTGAAGATTCTGTGTTACACTCCTGAAGGGTTACTTTATTAGTTTAAAGTAAGTTGCCTGAAAACAAAGTGCCTGCATGTGCTAAAATTATTGCTCTGCTTAATGAAATGTCCTGTTGCAAATTGTTAAGAGATATGGCTGTCATCCCTTCATCAGTTACATTAATCACTTCAATATAACTAATAGTTTGGTAGATTGGCACAGAAAGACCAAAGAAAACTACCATCTGAAATACCTTAGTTTTATTCAATTGAGCATGAAAGACCATTTTGAAAACTGTGAAAAATTGAAATATAAGTGGTAGCTATGCAGTTCAGTTGCTGTTTTCAGGTGAACAGTAAGTCAGACTGGGGAGGAGGAAAAAGCTTAGGAACCAACAAATGTTGCTTCTTTGTTGGGTATCAAAGAGATTGTTGTTTTGCCTTCCAAATGACTCTATGCCATTGATTTATAGTCCATCCTTTATGATCACATGTGTTATAATATTCAATTTTATTATTGTATATTTGTATTATTATATACAGTTTATATATTTAACAGAAAAATCATAAAAATTTTATTAAAAATGTTATCATTAATAAATATTTTGTTTTCATTTCTTGAATTTAGAAATTATCAGTTAAATAGTCATAATAATATTAAGTTTTATATTTTCTCATTCTTATGATACCATAAATGTGATATAGTTTCAATTGAAATAAATATATACAGTCAAACCTCAGTTTTTGAACAGCTCACTTTTTGAACAAATCAGTTCATGAACGGAATTTCGAACTCATACTTGCATTAACTGCTGTATAATAACTCTGTTGCCAAACAAGCTACTTGGCAAGAGCTGGCAACAGATAGTCAACTCCCTATACTTCCTACATTAAAGTCAATGGCCCAACCAATCAACAACAGGACTACCAATTCAAAAGTTAGTGGTGTCGAGATTGCCTCTCATCTGCCGAGATCATTAGACATCGCAACACATTGTTATTTAAATTAGATTTCAATGTGCATGAGGGAAGATACTATTTCCATTTTCAGTGCATGCCACAGTCAAATTTAAATCAAATTAATTAATAAAAACTGCATTAATTGACATTCATGTACAGTAGAACCCCTCTAATCCGTCACCTTTGGGACTGGGGGTATGGTCAGAATGCAAAAAAGGTCGGATTATCAGAAAAAAGTAAAATAAACAATCTTCCCTTTGTCCAGTCTTTGTAGTACTGTTAATTTTTCATTTAATGAAAGAGTAACGTGTTTACATTTCACTCCTGACATGTTGAAAACACACACAAAACTGTACATGTACACACAATGCAAAACATATACTGTAACAAACACAGAAAAACGCCACTGACGAGTCGGGATAAGTTTCTCGACTCCGACCATGGTCGAATTAACCAAAGTGACGGACTAGCCGAGAGCGAACTAGAGGGGTTCTACTGTAATATAAATGGCACACAAGAATTCATGTTTAAAAATGTTTAAGTCAAATTAAATAACAGAAATTTATTATATGTAATAGAGTACTATATTATACATAATAGTACATTGCATTGGAGGCTATTTTATGTAAAAAATACAGCTAAAAAACAAAATGATTTATTTTTGGGGTCAGGAACAGATCAATCCATTTTATATTGTTTCTTACAGGAAAATTTGTTTCAGGTTTAGAACAACTTTTTGGAATAAATTATGTTTGAAAACCGAAGTTTGGCTGTATGTGAATTTATTTTATTGAAGCAGTACATTATTTGAACAAAAAAATTAAAATCTTAAGTAAACAGAAACTTTTCATACCTGCTCAGCAATTACAGTTAAAGGATTATTAATAACACCTGTCACTATGTGTGCTCCTTTTCCTACAATTACACCAAGTGATTTATCATCCCATATTCTTCCACCAATTCTATCTCTTCCTTCCAAAACTTGAACCTGTAAAAAAAAATTTGTTTTGTCATACTATACTTTTCTTTTTAAAAACTCATAATCCATTTTTGCAAAATATCTTGATTATAAATGAATAAAAATAATTATTATTATGTATCATCATCATAAAATATTTTATGACTATTTTTTACACTTACACAAATAAAAAATTTTCTATTAAACTTCAATGTATCAAATTATGTATTTCTATAAAAAATAGGTTCTCCCAGGGATTGGCTATTGAGCAAGGTCAGAGAACCATACATCACCAACACATTTTAAATCTGGCCCATATGCTATGTTATTCTTCCTTCTTTTGTTTCAATAATGTTACTTACTTAGAACATGGGGTTCCCATGGACAACCCCCTTTCAAGGGATCTTTGTAAAATATTATAGTTATCTGTATGTTGGAAGATAAAATATTACCTCAGTTCCTCCCTCAGTGTTACTTGTATAAAAGATATGTGAATGACATTTTGATTATATGGAAGAATAGGCCCTAAATGATTGAGTTTGTTTGACACATGAATGACACCCCTTATGGTTCATATCTAAAATTGGACTAGTGCAGCAACACACGTCCACTTTTAGATATATTTTTGTTGCTTAAAAATGGTAGAGTTCATACTAATGTTTATCACAAGCCCAGCTACCTACCAATATTCATACTAGCAAATTCGTATGATCCTATGCATACAAAATCACAGCTTTAGATCATTTATAAAATGAGTGTTCACGCACTACACCAATTACTCAGACACATAGAAGGAACTAAAACACTTAAAATCCATAGCTATCAAACACGGTTACAGGGAGAACATTATTTGTAATTTAGTGCACACCCATATCAATGGTAATAATCAAATATCCAACACTGTAGTAAATGAAATCTCTAGTGTGGATGAAAACTGCAGCAACAACACCAATCATATTGTACTGGAATATAACCATTTAATGATTAAGTTATATAAGAAAATAGCCCAACAAAAAAATGAGAAACTTACATACTTACACAACCACACTATCTACAGCCTACTATAGAACAGTAAGGACACCACTGATCATCCACTCTACTGAGAGTATATAGTATCCCAGTAATAGACCTAAGATTCCAATGTAACCTACAGTATATTGGTTCCACCATCTGCTCCATAAAAAAGAGAATTAAAGAGCATGCCTAAAGCATTATCAACAAAAAATACATCACTGCCCCGTCTTGTTACACATCTGAAGATGATGTGCATGCAGATCTCCTAAACACCATCCTCATCAAACAGGTATGACAATGTTGTAACATCAGAGCCCAAGAGACTGGAAATTTTTATGGCAGAAGCAAAGGAGAAAACTATAAACTCTGGGGAGAAAAATGTATTTCATATGCTTGGCAGACATTTTTTTAATAGTGTCCATTTAACAAAATTTCTTACGAATGTAAGAATTGATTTGTACATATACTCCATTTATGTTGTATAATCAAAGTTTTTAAAATTTTCAATATTCTACAAAAAGAATGTGCACTGGAATAATTTTTTTATTTTAAAATTTTGTTAGACATTCCACAAAAAGAATATACAGTTGGAACACATAATTTAAGTTCATTTTGGATTCATGCTTTTATAAGAAAATCCAGACCTGAAGAAAATCTGAAGAGAGCAAATTGAAAACGTTAGTCTGTTTTCTACAAAAAAGTACTTATTGGAGTTAAACAAAGGTTTTAAAATACAGGTGTGTTATAAACAAGAAGTATCTGTAGATAATCTAGTAAATTATTACTAGAATTATTAACTCATTGTAATATCGGAAAATCTGTTTCACAGAACATGTTTTAGTAAACATGAAATTATAGAAAATCTTCCAATTATTGGAAAATATTCTGTTTTCAGAATTTTGTATGTGCAGGGTTCCTACTCAAATTTTTGTTTTGAATTCCCTGACTTTCCCTGACCAACTTTGTCCAAATTCCCTGACCCTCACATTTTTTAGTGTGGAATATCGACATAATAAAACAGCATTTACTGTTAACATTGAGTACATTTAGCCCTCTTTTTGCACAGTTGATATGCTTCAAAGACTGCCACATNTAGTATAAATAGATATTTTTAACCTTTTTTTGCATTGTCAGCCTTAAGAAATGGATGCTAACATGCAATCATTATCAGTTATTTCATTATTCTTAACCAGTGCATTAAATATTAAACATCAATCATTTTAATCATTATTTGCTCAGAACACAGTAGAGTTTAAATTGCTGACATTTTTTACTTCAGTTATATAATAGATAAATTACAATAATAATTATAAATCAACAAACAAAAATAAATATATATCTGAGGAAATAGCCAAAAATACAGAATGTAAGATCTGGTGAGCATAGTAATGGCATGAGAAAGTTTTATCAAACAAGACAGTACAATACTTTGTTTCTCAGAAAAGAACTGCTTTACTGTCATGATTAAAGGATTTGTAGTAAAGGACCAGCAATAAATTCAACAGTTATATAATAAAGTTAATATAATAAAATAAATAAATAACATTATATAATAAGTTCAACAGTTATGTGACCTTAGCAAAAATGTGTAAGCCAAATATATATGACAACAAATTGGCTCAACTGCATATTTTTCATATAACAACTGAATATTTTACTGTATCTTATGTAACAGCAACAAGTATATCTGACAATGAGAATCATTCATTTTAAGTAATTTTCTATCAAACATCTCTTGCTCCTCTAATTATTTTGACCAGTATATGTGATGCAACATTTTTTAATTGAAAAAGAAATTGTTATGCCACAACTGCTGTACTCACCAGAACTTGTAGCTTGTGACTTTTAGATATTCCCTCATCTCAAATTAGATCTATATGATCATTTTCTGATGAATGATTGAGGACATTCAACGAGATACAGAGAGAGATCTTCTGATCTATATGCAAAAAAGACCTCTCTATGCCATTGGTTCCCAACTTTATTCCTCAAAACCTTAGGGTTCCATCAATAAATTCTGTTTTTGTGCTTTAATTAATAGTTTAAAATATTTATGAACATTTCAATTAAATAAAATTTCTAATATTAGTATTCCTATGTAGATATCTGCATGGCTCACATCTGTGGAAAATAAATTCTATTTGGCCAATTGCAGAGACAACATTTAGATGCTGACGATGGTTTAGAGATAGTGTAGATCATGGTTCAGAAAAATTTTGTTGCAAAGACATTTCTTGTTTGCCTCAGTTTAGATAGTGATTAAAAACTGGTTATTTGGCCTACTTTCTAGAATCACCCAACAGCAGGTTTAGACAATGTTCTAATTTGAATAGAAGGCATCACATTGTTATGTTTGTTGCAATGTTAGATAAAATTGGAGATCATTCCTTTGTTCCGCAAACTCGAAAATTTGAAAACCAGTGAAATGTTTATTTAATATGTTTAAAGATGTTTTAATACTAAAATAGTTATTAATATCTTCATCTTTATTTTGTTTATAAGAACTTATAAATTTTTATTTTTTTAAATATTAAAATATTTTCAAAAATTTATGTCAAATTTTATAATAATTTATCAATTTTTTTCCCAGAAGTGTTTCTTCAAAATCAATAAATATTTGAAACCTTTATTTATAAAGTTTGCTAATTATTTTATTTTTTAACACAAAAAACAAACAGCTTTAATAAAATGATTATAAGTGTGAGAATCGGGATTTATTTAATTAATTAGCATGGGAAATATATATAATTTTTCAAAGTTATTTACAAAAAGGGAAGATACAATATCACTTTTTTGCTAAAAAAGCAAATCAACTTCCTTTCCCACAAAACCTTATCTACAAATTTAACATCCATCTGGCAGTTCACCCCTCTTCATGTCCCCATACAACCCAATTCTTTTATGCAATTGGCCAGAACTGAAGATAAAAAGAGGCAATTTCCCCCAAAAAAGGAGTTCACCCAAGATTTCTCTTGACTCCAACACCTAAGTCTCTCATCACGACATACTCCTCTTGTGTATAGCAGTCTCGTCTCGAACTTCTCCCTCTAGCTGAACCACACCGCAGTTTGTCCCATTGCATCACGATTCATTGACAATACAAGATTTACAGGATTTGCTCCAGATCTACAGCGAGGTAGTATAAGTTGAATTTATGTAAACTCACGAGTAGAACAGAGATTAATTATTGCTTGTTGATTGTATTTTACTTATATTTTGTCTCCATTAAATTTTGTTTTGTTATTTCATAATGGTCTCGTCAATAAGCTCAATTCCACGCCAAAAATCCCATCACTTACCTATGGTCCCTCCATCTCAGAAACTTTATTGATTTATCCAATTAGCGTGCCTAATGCTCAAATTTAGGCCGGTAACGGGAATCAAGACTGTAGATCAAGATTTTATGATCTTTGATTGCAAATATCCTTTTAAGCCATCCTACAACCCTGTGGGCGGATCTTCCAGATCCGTAGCCGAGTAAGTGGTAGAGATTACTTTTGGTTCCTCACATAAATGTAAAGTACTGTACATACATAGTAATGATTTTTTTATTGTAATAAAAATAATTTATTAATAAAAGTTTATTGCAAAAATTCATTAATATTTTTATAATGAACTACCAATACTATATTAAATCAAAACTTGAATTTTAATATTTAAAATGATAAATTATTTATACAGATAAATGTTTTAAAATAAAATCAAATTACCTGTGGATTGAGATTCCATAAAGCAATTATCAAATTCCTAATACCTAAATACATAATTTGTTCTCTAGAGAAAAAACAAACTAACATTAATCATTTTAAATAAATATTCAAAATTCTTAAAATTATACATTATAAATCTGTAACTAAGCTTTACCATATGAATTTGATTCATGCCTGAAAAACAATTTATAAGACAAATGTCTGCAAACTAATCTGAACATTTCAATTATTTATCATAAAATTCCAATATATTCTCAAATCAAAATAAACTAACTCAAAAGAATAAAAGACCTTAACAATTATTAATTATAATTGCTATTTTGCAATGTACTTATCATAAAATAATCTTCTTGAAGTTAAATAAATATATGATAAATATCATAAAAACAAATTTTTTCATTTCTAAAGACATACAGTCAGACTTCCATATTGTAAAGTCTTATGTAACAAATTTCTCTTTTCAACAAGTTTTCTGTTGATATTGAAAATAAATATTTTTTTTATATTCACTACCAGTGCATTTTCCATTTAAAAACTTAAGAGAATTTGTTATATAGATTTATATAACAAATTCTCTATTTTTCTCAGAGAAAATTTGTTATACAGAATTATTAAAAAAATTGTTTAATTAAAATGCCTCAATGTCCTTTTTTTCTTATTAATATGTAAATTTTCGAGTATAAATTCATATCTTCTATTATCAGGACTTATTATACTGGCTTTACAGATAATATTACAAAGATTAACAGAAAACAATTTTTATTTTATTCCATATACCTGCAGGTATATGGAATTTAAAATTTACATATTAATAATTGTTATACAGAAGTTTGACTATGTATGTATTATATATTATATATGTATCTACTGTACATATGAGAGAATTTTCTTTGTGCCTTGATCACAATAATCAAAACAAAAAAAGTGTTCTTCCATATGTCAGTCAATCTGTTGAACAGCAGTGTGTCAAGTTTCATAAATTTCTGCTTATTCTCACTATCTTTTACATTGTTAGCATTTCTTTTATTTCTATATATAAATATATATGTTATGGCCAAAGCATGAAGTTCAGCCACTTCCCGAATTGGCTGGCCATTTCACACTTTGGCCGAGAGGTGTGGCCAAGGTCCGATGTACTTCAAAAGACCAGTGTACATGCTACTTTGGCCGGCCATTTCGCAAAGGGGCAGATAATTCCTGGTCAAAATTCAATGTGCTGATGGAAGACTGTCCAGTAGGTGGCACATCTTTTGCTTCCAGTATGATGGTGTTCTCAAACAACTGTGAGGTCACTGAACCGCACATAACAGCAGGATATCTGAGCAATTCCAAAGTGTATGTGGGAGTGTTGATGACAGAAACAACTCTCTCCAGTTACAAAACAATTTTCTCAATTTATTGTATAAATTATGCTTACAAAAACAGTATCTTCTGTCCGAGAACAGGATGATGTGATGGACAACTGGATGGCCCTTGGGTGCAGTCGTGTAATAGTTTGTGTTGAGAGATATGCATCATTTAATTAATTTAAACATTGGAAAAACAGAGAATACAGTAGAGCGTCGTTTATCCGAATCAATTGGGGACTGGAGTCGTTCGGATAACTTATTTTTTGGATAACCGATTATGTACGAAAAAATATATTAACCTATCCCATGTTGAAATTTTTCTCCATTGCGTGTCGCTTCGCGTTGAATTTTCGTTGACGTTAAGCCTAACGTAAAATTTTTAAANTATTTAAAACATATAATATGTATTCCCTACATTAATCATTAATAAAAAAATGAACACAATTTCAAATACAAACCTGAATTCCTAGATTACAAATATGCCGAGCTGCTCCTATTCCTGAAATTCCAGCTCCAATTACTATGACATTTTCCTAAAAATACAGAACAGAATTCAAAATTTAAAATATTATAATAGCTTCACACTGAAAGTTTCAATTTATTTTACCTCAGGTGGAATTGAGAAATATTTATAATCTACAGGTGGAATGACTATTCCAAAATTTACAATTCCTCTTCTAGTAAAGTATTTCAATATTCTTTCTGCTTCATATAAACAGCGAATTCGTGCTAATCCTCGACATATAAGGTGCTCTGTAACTTTTTTCATTGTTAACCATTCCTATTTTGCAAATATGCATAAAAGCCAAATATTTTAGATTTACAATTATTTTACTTAATAATAGAAAATAAAAGAAATATTATAATCAAACATTGACTTAAATGTACAGTACAATAGTAAGAATCTAGTGTACTGTATATTTAATATTATCAGAATTAGTAAGTCCAAAACTTATAAGTTAAAATACACTTAAACTTTGCTTATTGTAATCAGATTTTGATGATGGTTATTATTTTTTTGTATTAGTATAAATAGATATTTTTAACCTTTTTTTGCATTGTCAGCCTTAAGAAATGGATGCTAACATGCAATCATTATCAGTTATTTCATTATTCTTAACCAGTGCATTAAATATTAAACATCAATCATTTTAATCATTATTTGCTCAGAACACAGTAGAGTTTAAATTGCTGACATTTTTTACTTCAGTTATATAATAGATAAATTACAATAATAATTATAAATCAACAAACAAAAATAAATATATATCTGAGGAAATAGCCAAAAATACAGAATGTAAGATCTGGTGAGCATAGTAATGGCATGAGAAAGTTTTATCAAACAAGACAGTACAATACTTTGTTTCTCAGAAAAGAACTGCTTTACTGTCATGATTAAAGGATTTGTAGTAAAGGACCAGCAATAAATTCAACAGTTATATAATAAAGTTAATATAATAAAATAAATAAATAACATTATATAATAAGTTCAACAGTTATGTGACCTTAGCAAAAATGTGTAAGCCAAATATATATGACAACAAATTGGCTCAACTGCATATTTTTCATATAACAACTGAATATTTTACTGTATCTTATGTAACAGCAACAAGTATATCTGACAATGAGAATCATTCATTTTAAGTAATTTTCTATCAAACATCTCTTGCTCCTCTAATTATTTTGACCAGTATATGTGATGCAACATTTTTTAATTGAAAAAGAAATTGTTATGCCACAACTGCTGTACTCACCAGAACTTGTAGCTTGTGACTTTTAGATATTCCCTCATCTCAAATTAGATCTATATGATCATTTTCTGATGAATGATTGAGGACATTCAACGAGATACAGAGAGAGATCTTCTGATCTATATGCAAAAAAGACCTCTCTATGCCATTGGTTCCCAACTTTATTCCTCAAAACCTTAGGGTTCCATCAATAAATTCTGTTTTTGTGCTTTAATTAATAGTTTAAAATATTTATGAACATTTCAATTAAATAAAATTTCTAATATTAGTATTCCTATGTAGATATCTGCATGGCTCACATCTGTGGAAAATAAATTCTATTTGGCCAATTGCAGAGACAACATTTAGATGCTGACGATGGTTTAGAGATAGTGTAGATCATGGTTCAGAAAAATTTTGTTGCAAAGACATTTCTTGTTTGCCTCAGTTTAGATAGTGATTAAAAACTGGTTATTTGGCCTACTTTCTAGAATCACCCAACAGCAGGTTTAGACAATGTTCTAATTTGAATAGAAGGCATCACATTGTTATGTTTGTTGCAATGTTAGATAAAATTGGAGATCATTCCTTTGTTCCGCAAACTCGAAAATTTGAAAACCAGTGAAATGTTTATTTAATATGTTTAAAGATGTTTTAATACTAAAATAGTTATTAATATCTTCATCTTTATTTTGTTTATAAGAACTTATAAATTTTTATTTTTTTAAATATTAAAATATTTTCAAAAATTTATGTCAAATTTTATAATAATTTATCAATTTTTTTCCCAGAAGTGTTTCTTCAAAATCAATAAATATTTGAAACCTTTATTTATAAAGTTTGCTAATTATTTTATTTTTTTACACAAAAAACAAACAGCTTTAATAAAATGATTATAAGTGTGAGAATCGGGATTTATTTAATTAATTAGCATGGGAAATATATATAATTTTTCAAAGTTATTTACAAAAAGGGAAGATACAATATCACTTTTTTGCTAAAAAAGCAAATCAACTTCCTTTCCCACAAAACCTTATCTACAAATTTAACATCCATCTGGCAGTTCACCCCTCTTCATGTCCCCATACAACCCAATTCTTTTATGCAATTGGCCAGAATTGAAGATAAAAAGAGGCAATTTCCCCCAAAAAAGGAGTTCACCCAAGATTTCTCTTGACTCCAACACCTAAGTCTCTCATCACGACATACTCCTCTTGTGTATAGCAGTCTCGTCTCGAACTTCTCCCTCTAGCTGAACCACACCGCAGTTTGTCCCATTGCATCACGATTCATTGACAATACAAGATTTACAGGATTTGCTCCAGATCTACAGCGAGGTAGTATAAGTTGAATTTATGTAAACTCACGAGTAGAACAGAGATTAATTATTGCTTGTTGATTGTATTTTACTTATATTTTGTCTCCATTAAATTTTGTTTTGTTATTTCATAATGGTCTCGTCAATAAGCTCAATTCCACGCCAAAAATCCCATCACTTACCTATGGTCCCTCCATCTCAGAAACTTTATTGATTTATCCAATTAGCGTGCCTAATGCTCAAATTTAGGCCGGTAACGGGAATCAAGACTGTAGATCAAGATTTTATGATCTTTGATTGCTAATATCCTTTTAAGCCATCCTACAACCCTGTGGGCGGATCTTCCAGATCCGTAGCCGAGTAAGTGGTAGAGATTACTTTCGGTTCCTCACATAAATGTAAAGTACTGTACATACATAAACTTATAAGTTAAAATACACTTATGAAACCATGCTTATTGTAATCAGATTTTGATGATGGTTATTATTTTTTTGTATTAGTATAAATAGATATTTTTAACCTTTTTTTGCATTGTCAGCCTTAAGAAATGGATGCTAACATGCAATCATTATCAGTTATTTCATTATTCTTAACCAGTGCATTAAATATTAAACATCAATCATTTTAATCATTATTTGCTCACAATTAATAGTTTAAAATATTTATGAACATTTCAATTAAATAAAATTTCTAATATTAGTATTCCTATGTAGATATCTGCATGGCTCACATCTGTGGAAAATAAATTCTATTTGGCCAATTGCAGAGACAACATTTAGATGCTGACGATGGTTTAGAGATAGTGTAGATCATGGTTCAGAAAAATTTTGTTGCAAAGACATTTCTTGTTTGCCTCAGTTTAGATAGTGATTAAAAACTGGTTATTTGGCCTACTTTCTAGAATCACCCAACAGCAGGTTTAGACAATGTTCTAATTTGAATAGAAGGCATCACATTGTTATGTTTGTTGCAATGTTAGATAAAATTGGAGATCATTCCTTTGTTCCGCAAACTCGAAAATTTGAAAACCAGTGAAATGTTTATTTAATATGTTTAAAGATGTTTTAATACTAAAATAGTTATTAATATCTTCATCTTTATTTTGTTTATAAGAACTTATAAATTTTTATTTTTTTAAATATTAAAATATTTTCAAAAATTTATGTCAAATTTTATAATAATTTATCAATTTTTTTCCCAGAAGTGTTTCTTCAAAATCAATAAATATTTGAAACCTTTATTTATAAAGTTTGCTAATTATTTTATTTTTTAACACAAAAAACAAACAGCTTTAATAAAATGATTATAAGTGTGAGAATCGGGATTTATTTAATTAATTAGCATGGGAAATATATATAATTTTTCAAAGTTATTTACAAAAAGGGAAGATACAATATCACTTTTTTGCTAAAAAAGCAAATCAACTTCCTTTCCCACAAAACCTTATCTACAAATTTAACATCCATCTGGCAGTTCACCCCTCTTCATGTCCCCATACAACCCAATTCTTTTATGCAATTGGCCAGAACTGAAGATAAAAAGAGGCAATTTCCCCCAAAAAAGGAGTTCACCCAAGATTTCTCTTGACTCCAACACCTAAGTCTCTCATCACGACATACTCCTCTTGTGTATAGCAGTCTCGTCTCGAACTTCTCCCTCTAGCTGAACCACACCGCAGTTTGTCCCATTGCATCACGATTCATTGACAATACAAGATTTACAGGATTTGCTCCAGATCTACAGCGAGGTAGTATAAGTTGAATTTATGTAAACTCACGAGTAGAACAGAGATTAATTATTGCTTGTTGATTGTATTTTACTTATATTTTGTCTCCATTAAATTTTGTTTTGTTATTTCATAATGGTCTCGTCAATAAGCTCAATTCCACGCCAAAAATCCCATCACTTACCTATGGTCCCTCCATCTCAGAAACTTTATTGATTTATCCAATTAGCGTGCCTAATGCTCAAATTTAGGCCGGTAACGGGAATCAAGACTGTAGATCAAGATTTTATGATCTTTGATTGCAAATATCCTTTTAAGCCATCCTACAACCCTGTGGGCGGATCTTCCAGATCCGTAGCCGAGTAAGTGGTAGAGATTACTTTCGGTTCCTCACATAAATGTAAAGTACTGTACATACATAGTAATGATTTTTTTATTGTAATAAAAATAATTTATTAATAAAAGTTTATTGCAAAAATTCATTAATATTTTTATAATGAACTACCAATACTATATTAAATCAAAACTTGAATTTTAATATTTAAAATGATAAATTATTTATACAGATAAATGTTTTAAAATAAAATCAAATTACCTGTGGATTGAGATTCCATAAAGCAATTATCAANCAAAATAAATATATTGAAAAATATAAAAAAAAAAAAAAAAAAAATACTTTAGAAGTTGATCTAGTATCAAAAACGTTCGATTCAGCATAACACAGTTCTCAGAAAAACACCACACAAAAGTGCCAGTGCTGCCAGCTAAAACACACACACACCAACAAAAAAATATTGGAGTAGTGCAAGATATAGCCAAAGATTGCAGCGCCACAGCACTAGCGAAAATTTAAATTTGCCAACTGGAATTCTTTCGGATAACCGACTTTCGGATAAACGACACTCTACTGTATTTTCACTACAGAGGCTGCCACACAGTATGAATATTTAGTGGAGAAGTTCTCTGTATCCTTGAATTGGTCATTTTTATGAACTTTTTTGGGTCCCAGATCAATCATTTTGATTGGTCGATCCTCCTTACCTACCTCTGCTTTTTAATTGGTCTTCACTTGTTACCTAGTGTAATGAGATCGGAACCCAGATTGCAGGATGAGTCGACGTCACGTCTCCATTCAATCCCAATTGAAGATGGTCAATCTTGGGACTTACTTACATTATTCTATTGTTTTAATTTGAGAAGTTCACTTTTCTAAGAATTACTTTTAAACATGCCCTTTTATGGACGTAAATTTTTATCTTTGATCTCTTATCGGTTTTACAAATTAAAAAAGTTTTCCTCTTTCTCCCTTTTTTTTCTAAGAAGAAAAACAAAATTTATTTATTAATATGATTCTGGTTCACTTCCGGAGTCTCACACAACTGTATTCCAGAAGTGAGTTATTCATTCTATGTGAGAAACTGCTCACACTGGAATCTGTGGCACAGAAGAAAAGCTACTATGAACTGTCGCATCTCCCCAATCAATCACTGACAGGTGACCAATTCTACACTTGCTACAATTGCACTACTAAGTGTGCAACAAATTGCCACAAATGTGAAAATAACAAATGATGTGTAATTCGAAATGTCATAAAAGTTCATCTTGTCATAACAAGTGATGGTAGAGATTGATAATTTACTAAGATTAATAAGCATAACACATAATTGAATTTGATAATTTATAATTAATAATCAATATAAAGTATGAAATTATACAGACCCACCAAAATCTGCTCATGACTTTTTCTTCTGACTTTGGGCAATCACCACATGCCATTTTGCAAACTGGCCAGCCAAATTCCAAAATCAAGAAAAGATTGGACATTGGTCAGTCAATTTACAGTGACTTTGGTCATTTCCTGATTTGGGGCTTTGACCATAACATATATATACTAGCAGACCCCGCCACGCGTTGTTGTGGCTCAAAATGTATCTATTATAAATTTATAACATTTCCCCGTGGGGGGGGGAATTTTTTGAAAAATTTCTTCTTAGTGTACATTCTGTTGACGTACCCTATTAGAACGCAATCAAAAACGCAAAAAACCGCATCTAAAATAGTATAAATAGAAGCAGAGTTCTTTACGGTAAGCCTTAATCCTAACCATCTCCCTTCAGTGGGGGNGATTTTTTATATCAATTATTGTAGATCAATATCAAATGAAATATTCTCCCTAATTTTGAATATTAAGTTTTGGTATAATCAGTTATGCATATTAAAAAAAAAATGATTTTAATATTATTTGATATTTATTTTTTACTTTTCTTGTATTCATTTCAGTTTCAGATAGAAATCCATATCTTCAACCTTTCTACCAACCTGCTGAACAAGGAAAGGCAAGATGTTTTCGGCCTGATGTTATGGAATTAGATGAAGTAAAGGAGTTTCCTGAATATTCAAGGTAACTATATGATTTTTAAAATTTATAGATTAATTCTAAGGATTTTTCTGTATTGAACTTACTTAGGAAATATACATTTAATCGTAGGTAAAAAAAATATCAAATTAAATGAGCTCTATAGTTTCAAAAAATTTGCATTAGGAAATTTATTTTTATTTTAAATATTATTATAACATTCCTGGCTGTTTTACAATATAACATAGGGAAAGTATGACTATCAGTCAAATTTTGACTCCCTGGTTATTTTTTTCTTTTTTGACATTCTTATAGCCCAAAATGTAAAAAACAATCTTACAAATAAGTAATAATTTTTACAAATAATTTGTAAAAATTATTTTTAAATAAAATTTCACAACAGATGTACTGTACCACACATCTTTAACTTTGTAAGCTTATATATTGTACATACTGGATAAATAGAATATAAAAAAAACACCTTTAACAATCCAGCAAATAAAATTTACTAAAATAAAAATGTTTTTGATCGTTTTAACCTATCTTCCTCGGGTACTTAAAATAGAATGTGAAAATAGAATGTAAATTTAAAAATAAAATGAAAATGAGAATTCCAAAATAAATACATATATAAATAACTGAAAATGCAGTTGTTGTCAATAAAATAAATAATTACAAAAATAAAATAAATAACAAATACATGTCTCTTAATAAAAATTAATCTTCATAAAAAGACCGCCATGCAGTAGCCAATGTGTCTGCATCTCTATGGTTGATGTAACCGGTTCTTTTGTGTGCTTTAAAAATCTTCAATCTTTCAAGGTATTTCATCATGTCTATATTTGTTGTTGGTTTGATAATTGATGCTTGCTCCCATTGGACATGAATGTCCTGTTGCCATGAGTAAGTTGATAGTATGGAGTTATCGAGCTTCTTATCAATTGTATATTTATGCTCCTTGAGTCGTCGTTGCAAGTTGCGCATCGTGGTACCCACATAGATTAGTTTAGATTCAAAACGTTGGTTGTTTAATGGAATGGAATAGATCCCCATCGCTGAATTACAGTTATACTTCCTTGGCATGACTTTTACATATGCAAGGCTCCAATGGTCTGAGCACCAAAAACACTGAGAATTTTCATATCCTCCAAAATCCACAAACCAGGAAACTAAATACGTCCGGTGATTGAGAAATGTAATTCTCCAACATTTTTAATCGAGAAACAACTTGTCAAATTCATAAAATGCTAAAGCTCATTACCATCTGCTTTCAATTAACAACTCACTGCAGATTATAGAAAGTCTCAATGCCATTTCTCTACTTATTCGTCTCCACACACCGGAATGTACTAAAAATAACTCTTACTTTTAACCTTGTAACAGGAGTGGTTGTGTAATACTTCAGCGAATGTTTTTGACTCCACTTCTGGGCTCTTCCTCAGGCTTTTTCTATAAATACTGAGCTGGACGTTGAAAATCGAATACTTTCTTTTGAGCTGTTTATCTTTTGAATCATCGCATGCGACAACCTTCGAGCCAATTTAAAACAAAAAAAGAAAAGAGCGATGTTTTGCATACAGTTGATGCATGCTGCAGTACTTTCGACGTAAACTTTTAAATGTTGTCATCTAGCAGGATCTGCCATGCTGTTGAAAGAGATATCTCTTCTTTAAAATTGAATCTGGTATGTTATACATCATTCTTTGAATTTGAGAATGAGGTATATTTACAAGGAAGAGGCATACCTATGGGCAGTCTCACATTGACAATTCTTTGCGAGTTGGTATTGCGACAATTGGAATACAACATTCTATCCAAATTTCAACACATTATTTTATACGCTAGATATGTAGACAATATATTCATCATATGGCAGAGAAAACCAAACCTACAGTAATTTTTGAAAATGATCAATGATAACCCTATAAATTATTCCTACAATTAGATCAGGAGAGTGAAATTACTGTAAATTTTTTGGAAATTTTCATTGCATGGAGAAATTTGGACCAACGTATACAGAAAACCATGTTTTCAACCCATTTTAATTCCACATAACTCTGTCGATCCTCTTAACATCAAATTGGCAGCCTTTAGATCCTGGATAAGAAGAGCTTATATGTATTGTACAAGCATAAATGACACAGTAACAGAGCTAAATTACATCTTAAGAATTGCAGAACAACAAGGATATCCAAGGGAAATGATAGAGAAATTAATCACAACCTTTCAAGAAACAAAACAACAGCATACCTCATTGGACCAAAAACAAAGGATGATTTTAAATTATATCCCATTTTTAAGGGGAATACATAAGAAGGCAACCAAGGCTAATAATCTCCAAGTAGTATATCGACACAACCCTATGGTTTTCAGAATTTTAAAGAACAATAAAAAACAATATAATCATAATTCGGCCATGGGAATCTACTCCATCCCATTAAATGACCAATGTTTCGAATCTAAACTAGTCTATGTGGATACCACAATGTGCAACTTACAATGACGACTCAAGGAGCATAAATATACAATTGATAAGAAGCTCGATAACACCATACTATCAACTTACTCATGGCAACAGGACATTCATGTCCAATGGGAGCAAGCATCAATTATCAAACCAACAACAAATATAGACATGATGAAATACCTTGAAAGATTGAAGATTTTTAAAGCACACAAAAGAACCGGTTACATCAACCATAGAGATGCAGACACATTGGCTACTGCATGGCGGTCTTTTTATGAAGATTAATTTTTATTAAGAGACATGTATTTGTTATTTATTTTATTTTTGTAATTATTTATTTTATTGACAACAACTGCATTTTCAGTTATTTATATATGTATTTATTTTGGAATTCTCATTTTCATTTTATTTTTAAATTTACATTCTATTTTCACATTCTATTTTAAGTACCCGAGGAAGATAGGTTAAAACGATCAAAAACATTTTTATTTTAGTAAATTTTATTTGCTGGATTGTTAAAGGTGTTTTTTTNTTTCCAGTGTGTTTACTATGTCAAGAAAAGTTTTCTAATAACAAAAAATCAAATGTACAAATGCATTTTTTAAATAAACATAAAGCATTTGCAAACACTTATTGAAAGGGAGAAGAAAGAAGAAAGGCAGTAGAAGAACTTCAATGTAAAATGAACATTTTCAAATTTAGAAGTATTGATTTTGAGAATGTGTTGCTGTTGTGCAGGGTCAATGCCTGTAAATTTTGTGAGTGCTTCCTGGAAAAGGAGAGAGAGAGAGAGAGTATAAAGTAAACCTGAATCTATTTCAGGCAGTGAAGAAGTGTGAAGAGTTGATATTGGAACAGCATTGTCAATGCAAGTATCTTGATGAGCCTGAAGGATTATGCAATCGTTGTTGATGTAATTGTTCTGCAATTTGCTGTTTATATATTCTAGTGTTGTTTGGGGTATAAGGCTGTTATATATAAATTGTTCTTATTTTGATCAATAACCCTTTTGAGTGACAGTGAGATGAGGATATTGTTGTGAGAACAAGTGATGTAACTGTTGTCTATATGCTGTCATGTTTGTTTTGAGTTTTGTGATGGTTTAGTAAGTACAGATGATAAACTCATTCATTTCTGATTTTCATTTTATCCATTGGCATGGTTTACCTGCCTTAGTGGTCTGTGGCTGGATTGTCTCAGAAACATCAAGGTTTGGCCAGTTTCTCACAACTGGTTGGGCATTGCACTAGCCATAGTTGGGACCAGTGCTGCTTTCACCACTAGTGGCCAAGGGAAACTGAGACATATTTTTTGAATGTGAGCTTCTGATGAGCATAGACCTTGTTAACCCGGGTGATGTCTGAACCAGTATTACATTTGGATCATGTTATTACCATCATTAGATTCCACAGATGTGGGTTCAGTCACTCTTGGCCTCATTTCTTTCCACAGACCTCACTGGCATGGGTAATCCTTCCAGGAGCAGATGCTCCAGCTAGCATATCTCTGTGGTTCACCAGAATTACTGAGCTCTCCCACCTCAGCAAGGTGGTGACTGGCAAGAGAGGTACAATAGTTATTAAAATTTTAAGTAAAACAGAAAAACTAGAAATTCTAATAGAATGTAATAACCTTAAAATTTGTTGCTTAACTTTGAAAGAAATTTTTTAACAAAGGTTCAAACATTTCTTGGTTTGATCCTTTATGTTAAAATCATAAAGGATCAAATCAAGAAATGTTTACATGTAAGCTCCATTCATGTCAGCTACTTGAGAAAATGGTGGGAAGTGTCATCTTCACAAGAACTGTCTACATCCACAATGCTCCTGGTTGCATGAAATTTTTCACATGGGGGTAGAAAATGTCCTGAATTTGAATGGTATCATTAAATTTCAGCTATTTTTTCAAGTATACCTGAATGTAAAATATTTATTGAGTGCCCCCTTGTATATCTAAATTATAAAAATGCAATCTAATTCTTGATATTTGCTTATGTGATAGTTTATTCTATCCAGAATTAGCCAATGGGATTAGACAAATTTCCTTTTTAATGATAATGATGCTAATAATAAAATAATAGTAATAATAATACAAAAATTTTTACCATTATTCAAAACTTGATTATCTGTGTTCTGGTTTTCAGTTGAACTGTCTGAAATTTGTTCTGAATAAATTGAAATAAAAACTTAATTAATTCTTTTCTATATTAGAAGAAACTGAATAATCATATTTTAAATTGCTATTTACAATTCTTTTCTTTTATACAAAAGAAAATTGTTTAGTTTAGTGCATCGATTTATATTAGATAAAATCATAAAAATTGATAAGAAGTTAAAAAATTAAAGTTTTATATATACTTTTTTGATCAAATGTTAAAAAAATCATAATATAAATCTCTCTCTAGCTCACCCAGGCGGATATCTGACATGGGAGACTCACCACAGCCCTGGCCACGTATGTCAAATCCCGAAGCCGAAGCGCAATTCGAAAAAGCTACTGTTATCATCAACACACCCCACCAAGAGTATCTCAGGTGGCTAGAGGCCACAGCTATCTACAGTGTCAACCGGCTAACCACGTACGTTAACCGGAAGGAAGAGCTGACTCTGTCTCTGGCCTGGCAATCACTGTTAGATGCCAACCCAGCACTTCCTCCCCCACCACATGACCGCGCATGTCAGAAAGGACCCACTCCGTCAGAATTGACACCCGATCCCAACAAATAGAATACACTCCATCCAAGGAATTCCAGTCGACCTGAAGAAGAGCNATTTTTATCATCTGAATGTTAACATATCATAAAATGATCATACAAGTTCGAAAATATTTTTTAAAAAAATTAAAAAATGATCGTATAAAAGTAAAAAGTAAATAAACTAAAGAAATACATAAAAATTAAATTGATAAATATACCAAGAAATATTAAAATTAATTAAATACAAATTTTAAATAATGAACCCCCATCTATTAAATCAAATAATGTAAATAGTCCATTCCATAGCTGTCACAAGGCTTTGCATTATTTATGTAGAGGGTATAGCAGGGGTCGGCAACCTGCAGTTCTGGAGCGGCATGCAGCTCTTTTAATGCATAATTGAGGCTCTTTTTAAATTAGTAAATAATATACATATAACAAAATTTTTAATTTAAGTAAAAGATAAGTCATAAATGTAAATGCCACTAATATTATTTTAAAAAACTTTCTAATTTCACTAATCACTTATCATTTCACTGTCAGAATAAAATTATTATTCATATTTATAAAAAATAGAACATCTGGTTGCAATTATCAAGTCTTAGATGGCACAAAGTGTAAAAATTAGACTATGCTGGTGAGAAATGTTTATTGTACTGTAAATAGAAAGGTTTCCTTACTTTTATGACTGAAAAAACAGTTATTGTTTGTCCCTAAAATTTATGACTCTGTTTTTATTTGTTGCTCTTGTGTTGGCAAGTGGTCTGTAAGTTTTCTGCTTTTAGTTTTATGCCCTATTGGATATCTTTTATATTGAAGTTTTTTTATCAAGTAAATTTATTATAATTACATTATTTCTGAAGAATATTATCTATTTGTTTTCTTACATGTAAGATGATTTAAAAAAAAACAGGTTTTTAGATAATTTTTCATAATTATTTTTGTTAGATTGGTAGAAAACCGCTATTCTACTTTTTTAAATTAATACGGCTGGAAAAAAGAGAAAAGTAGAAGAAAATCGAGAATTTAGAAGTGAATGGACTAAATCCTATGCAGTTGTTTCAAATTTAACAGGGTTTCCAGTGTGTTTACTATGTCAAGAAAAGTTTTCTAATAACAAAAAATCAAATGTACAAATGCATTTTTTAAATAAACATAAAGCATTTGCAAACACTTATTGAAAGGGAGAAGAAAGAAGAAAGGCAGTAGAAGAACTTCAATGTAAAATGAACATTTTCAAATTTAGAAGTATTGATTTTGAGAATGTGTTGCTGTTGTGCAGGGTCAATGCCTGTAAATTTTGTGAGTGCTTCCTGGAAAAGGAGAGAGAGAGAGAGAGTATAAAGTAAACCTGAATCTATTTCAGGCAGTGAAGAAGTGTGAAGAGTTGATATTGGAACAGCATTGTCAATGCAAGTATCTTGATGAGCCTGAAGGATTATGCAATCGTTGTTGATGTAATTGTTCTGCAATTTGCTGTTTATATATTCTAGTGTTGTTTGGGGTATAAGGCTGTTATATATAAATTGTTCTTATTTTGATCAATAACCCTTTTGAGTGACAGTGAGATGAGGATATTGTTGTGAGAACAAGTGATGTAACTGTTGTCTATATGCTGTCATGTTTGTTTTGAGTTTTGTGATGGTTTAGTAAGTACAGATGATAAACTCATTCATTTCTGATTTTCATTTTATCCATTGGCATGGTTTACCTGCCTTAGTGGTCTGTGGCTGGATTGTCTCAGAAACATCAAGGTTTGGCCAGTTTCTCACAACTGGTTGGGCATTGCACTAGCCATAGTTGGGACCAGTGCTGCTTTCACCACTAGTGGCCAAGGGAAACTGAGACATATTTTTTGAATGTGAGCTTCTGATGAGCATAGACCTTGTTAACCCGGGTGATGTCTGAACCAGTATTACATTTGGATCATGTTATTACCATCATTAGATTCCACAGATGTGGGTTCAGTCACTCTTGGCCTCATTTCTTTCCACAGACCTCACTGGCATGGGTAATCCTTCCAGGAGCAGATGCTCCAGCTAGCATATCTCTGTGGTTCACCAGAATTACTGAGCTCTCCCACCACAGCAAGGTGGTGACTGGCAAGAGAGTTGTTGTTATTGTTGTTATTATTATTAATTTTTATAAATCATATTTTTTGAACCTTAAACATTTCAGAACAAAAAAAAAATGACAAATAAATAATAAATTCAATTAATTATTTTTAACTTACTAAAATTCAAGTCATTTATACAAAATGTGAAGAAAATAAAGTATAAATTAACAAATAAAGGAAAATCAATTAACATACCTTTTAAAAAGCCAATACTAGTTGGGCTCATCCCTACACCATCATAATAATATTTCTGAAGATATTGTGCCGAAGGAGAATTTTTTAACAAAGGTGGATGTGTCAAGTAAGCAATCCATATTGGCTGAATTGAATCAGCAGCTCTCTAAAAATAAAATTTAAATTACTTTAAGCAATAAGTACTTGAATTTGCAATTTTATTAAAAGTATAATTCAAGTTACATATAAAAAAAAATAATATTTTTTATCGCCAAGTCAAAATTTACTTATACATTTGAAAGAAATTTTTAACATTTTATTATTCCTTTTAAAATGAAATTATTTTACATTGATAATTATTTAGTAACTGTTTAATAGCAGCAATATATTGCATTAACTTTTTATATGTAATTAATTTAATCAGCTTCTACAGGACATTTATAAATTTATGAAAAATTTACTAACATATTGAGATTTATTTCTAGGGTAATAAACTACATAATTTTTGTTCAAAATTTTTGAAAAATTGAAAATAATTGTTGAAAATTGCATAAAGATATTCTCTAGCTTGATCTATTTTTATGTTCCCTACAAGCTATTTACTTTCTTTACAGTGATAAAAATAAACAATCATACCAAGCAAAGAAATCTACCCTTTCTTCCACTATGAAACCATATGATTTTTAACAAATCAATTATAAAACCATATTTTATAAAACAAGTTTATAAAATATGGTTCAAATCAGAAACATTTTCTTGAAACAACACAATTAGGGATCTGGAAGAAAGCTAAGAAAGGAAAATTAATCAGTTAACCTTTACCAGACATGATTTAAGAAAAGAGCAAGAAAACAAAAATTTGGAGAGACCTGTGACAAAACAAGAGACTATTCACATTGTGACTTAATAAAGTTAATGGCTTCTGATTCATAAAAATAAATTAAATTAAAGCACATATATACATGCATGTTTAGACACAAAGTAGGGAATGTCCTTAATTGCTTTGTCTTTGGTAGTACAACCATGGAATTTCCATTTTAAATATACATTGCATTTTTATAATTTAAAACAATTCTTTGTAACAATATTAGATTTATATATTATTTACATTTATTTGATCTACATATTAAAAATTTTAATAATAAAAAATGAAAATATTGTAATTTAAAACCACATGGATAAATTAATAAAGTCTGCTTCAATTCAAACATTTGTACATTTGTTTGAACACTGATCATTTCATATAAGTGAATGAGTCAGTGAAAACAATGTAGCATTATTATTTTAAATTACATAAATATACTATAATTTAACTATGTTTACATTTAAATATTGAAACAAATTAAATTTAGATTCTTACTGTATCTTCTGGAACAGAACATGCTTCAAAATCTTTCTATTAAGAGAAAAATTAAATTAATTAAATTTATTTTAAATATTAATTGAGTAAAATTTAATTAACTTTTATAAAATTCAATTAAATTTATTTAAAAGCATTAATATTGTTAAAGTTTTTTAATAAATTAATTTGTTTGAAAAGTTTAGCAAAAAAATAAAATAATAAACATGAGTTGAAAAGTGCCAAATTACCAAAGTGCTGTAAAGTAAAACACTTTATACCTATACATATCTACATGTATATATCATTAGTCATTAATAAATTTATCAAGTTTGTAATCAAGATAATCACTTATCCTAATTGCACATTATATTTTTTTATAATATGTACAGTTCATATTCATTTATTTCTATTGGAACTATATTTAAAATTTTACACAGATTGATTTAAAATAAGTCATTAACTTTATATGCAATACCTTATCATTGTGATTTACCATTCTACAGCAAAATTTTTGTATTAAATCTGAAGTCAATTCAATGTCTTTAGACAACTGTCGCCATTTCTGACAATCTGGTAGAACACACTTTACCCAATATGGTAACATTTGGTCTGCCATAAAAGCTTTCAGTGTTGATTCTGTTTTACCATTTACAGACCATAGATTTTTCCAAGTTATGTAACTATTATATCCATCTTTATGACTAGAAAAAAGTAAGTGTAAGATTAAATTTGGACTAATGTGTACATATAATATGAAAATGTTAGCATATTAGCTAAGACTTACCTTCGATAAAAGTAGTCAAAACATTCATTACAGTAATGCTCTCCACAAGACATATGATACCAACGAGAGGTATATCCATTTCCTGCACACCTATAAAAAAGAAGCAAGCATTTTATTATAGCAGCTGCCAATTTGTGTTCCACGGGTTCTGCCAATTAAATTACTTTCTAAACTTTAATTAATATTGATAGTTTAAATATGTGAAAAAATTTATTTAAATACTTTAAAAAGTTATTAATATTAATAATTTATTCACAGATTCTGTATGGCTCATAATTGTCAAAAATAAAATCTGTTGAGTCTAATGATAGAAGAATTGAATCATACAAAATAAAATTAGAATTGTATTAATAAATCTAATTTTCTTTATTTTGATCTTTAAAGTCACACCTCATCCTGTATGCAAGATCATCTTATACATGAGTAAATACAGTAAATACTTGAGTGTTCATTTAACAATTCACAAACAATAAAAATAAATTTGATTCTCTCATTACTAGTTGAGCTTCCAGCATGTCCACTGATGAAATCAATCTGTGAAAATTAATCCTTCACATTAATTACCAGTTTGAATTAATAATATTTGCTTTTTCCATTACTAATCTGTTTTTGTATATTCAATAAATTATTTTCAATTTTTCTGATTTATTGTTTTATTTATAATCAGTAAAATTTGTCAAGTTTGAAAAGTTTTTATCAAGATGAAAAGGGTTCCACAATTATAATAAGTTAGGAACAGCTGTTTTATTATATTAACCCTTCAGCCATCACATCAACATTGTTCTTAGTGTGGACATCCAATCAACATAACACAACATTTGATTTATATAATTTTTTTTAGTTATATAACAATGCAAATATTTATATAACTACAAGTTATATAAATCAAATACTATAATATAATAGAAGGGTTAGAAATACAAAATAATAGCCAAACATGATGGTGATATTTTGAGACTGTTATGAAGGTAGGAGGCATTGATATTTCCTTGAGGAGTGATATTAGGTCTATTGGGTGTGTCAGAGCATAAGAATATCCCTCTAGCTTAGGTGAGAGTATCTTATGTATTAGCTTCTCTAGCTTAATAGTTGGTGCCCTGGCCTTATCAATGATTGGTCTTAGCTGTTGTCCAGGTTTGTGGATTTTTGCAAAGGTGAATATTCTGGGCGTATCTGGGGAGTCTATCGTGATATTCCTTAATTCCAGGTGTTTGGCTAGCTTCGTATTTGAAAAGCGTATTTTCATATTTTAAATCCCTCTACCCATCTATTAAACTCCCGGTGATATTTTAGCTAACATTTATTTTAGAACATCACTAATAATTATTTAATTTATTTTAAAAGAAAATAGTAATATAAAATATACATAATGCTCCAAGTACAGGATGTAAAAATAGAACATTGCACCAGACTAGTCTGGTGCAATGTTCTATTTTTGTCTGTATCTTGTATAAATAGTAATAATTGTTGAAATTATTAGGCTTCAATATATTTTTTATTTCATATTTTGATTAATAAATTCATTAATAATCATGCAAATTTTATATTACAGATAAATATGTTATCATTTATTAATAACTTTAATGATTAAACAATTTATTTTATAAATTTTGAGAACTATCTGGAAAAGAATAGCTACAAGTAATCACAACTCCATATAACCATATAAAAGAAAAACTATTTAAATTATTATATTTATGTTATTATTCCAGACACAGTGAGTTTTTATATACAGTAGAGCCTCGATTATCCAATTCAATTGGGGACTGGGGTTGGTCAGATAATTGAAAAGTCAGATAACCGAAAAGCATGAAAAAATCCATTATTAGTGTAGTACAGTATATTATTATATCCCATATAATTAGTATATTAGTATATCGCTATTAACCTACTTTGCGTTGAATTTTCATCGATGTTAAGCCTAACAAAATTTTTTTAAAATAATAATCGTCGCTATTGTATCGTTAAAAATTAGAAAATTAAACCTCGTTTAAATACTGGCTCCCTTTCATGGTCGAATGAGTGTTGCCAGCTAAAACACGTAAAAATAATATTAAAGTAGCCAAGCTATAGCCAAATATTGTAGCGCCACATTACTAGCGGACATTTGAAATTTGCCGACTAGGACGGTTGATTAACCAAGGTGTCGGTTAATCGAGGGTCAGATAATCGAGGCTCTACTGTAATGTTTAATTCTATAGTTATTTCTAGTTACATTAATCAATGTTAAGTTATTTTGTTCATAGTCTCTCTAAAATATGTAATCAACCAATTATTATATTACTTTATATCTAATTATGATTATTCAAATATAAAGTGGCAACTCCCAAAATAAATTAATAGTAAATTTTAAAATGAAATTATATAATCAAAAACAGATCATCATCTAATAATTTTAGTAATTATTTTTTTTATAAATAACTACACACACATGTATATTTTTAATAACATTCCATGTATATTAAAAATATACATGGAATGTTCAGAAATGGATTTCAAATGCACATCCCAACTGCATAGGCACTGGTGGTTGGCTACCATCTGTCAGTTGTTATCATAGAGATCAAGCAGCACATATAAGTTTTCATCCTTTTGTTTAAGGTTTGCAGTCTTGTGTTGAAATGTCTGCTAAAGCTAAACTTCTACTAATTGTGAGACACACTAACTAATCAAACTTCTGAATGACAAAAATGTTCTGCAGGACCAAAAATCATAGACAGATTTATAATGTTTAAGGAGCTGATATAATGAGTGATGGACAGATGATGGTGCAGACTTTTCAAACAGACTACATGAAGATGGAAGAAGTCACCAATTTTTCATCACTGATACTCTCATACAGTTGGTGAATGAAAAAATTCAAACAAACAGAAGATTCACCATATCAAAGTTGAGTGCAGAATTTCCCTAATTTCTCATTCATGACCACATGAAATCATCTGTGTAGATCTGAAATACTGCAAACTTTGTTCCAGTGAGTGTCTAAATATTTCATAGACAAGCAAAAAATAATGAATAACAGTAGCACTCACATTTTTGGACCAGTATGCCAAAAATGGCAGTCATTGGACCACATTATGACATATAATGAAACTTTTGAATTACATACTCAACATCAGACACTAATCAGCAATAATGAAGTGAAACATACTGACTTGCCTAAAAAAAAGAAAATAATGCTGATACTTTCTACCAAGATGCTTTTGTGCACAATTTTTTGGGACAAGAGGAAAGTTTTGTTCAGAGTTACTGCCCCAAGAAGTAACAATAAACATTGAAGGTTATTATGATATCCTGAAAAAATTATGAAGGGCTATTCATAGCCCTCCATAATTTTTTCATGGATATCATAATAACCTTCATGGATATTATAAACAAAAGACATGGCCTACTGAGTTCTGGAGTGATTTTTTCACAATAATATATGGCTACAATCCACTTGTAGCAATTACTGAAAAAAATTCAAATGGGAAATCTTAGATTGGAATTATATGATGAATGTTCAATCACCCACCCATCATCATCATTTGGTATTTGGATTTAAAGATTTTTTTGAGGACAACAATTCAGGAGCTACAGACAACTGTAAAAGATTGGTGGGAGACTTCATTGATGCAGATTTGCAAAAGCTTATCTGTCATTATGACAAATGCTTGAACCATCAAAAATACAATAGCTGTAACTATGCTATCACTAGTGAATTATTGCAATTTTGTGGCTGTGTTTGAATTTAGTTTTTTTTGTGTTGCTATTGGAGATGAGCTGTTTAGTTTAAAGTATTAAGGCATTTTTTGAAATTTTCTGTACTGTACTCCTAAAAAAGGTAGTGTAAAATCATTTGTTTGGTATATCCATAGGAGTTTAATGTGAGTTAAACTAATAATATTTACTATTATTTTGGGACTGAAGACAATTTTTTCCAGATGCTCAAAATCCTAGTAACTATTGGTTATAAATCTATGTCCTCTTATAAGACTTTTTTCTAACTACAGAATGAAAATAATTACATAATTAAAAAAAATAAAAAGAAGAAAAATGCATTTTTGAAAAGAAAATATAAAAAACCATTGATTATTTTTATTAATCAAATTACTAAAGTTATTCATAAAAATAATTTTATATTAACAAAAGTTACTTTTATAAAAATATTTAAAAGATAAATTGGCAGTTTATAACAGGAAAGATGAATGTTTTTTCATTTTCTTAAGTTAAATCAGCCTTACCTGTCAGTTGCAGATGCAAAACAAATGGGAATTGTAGCTGCACAACCTGATTTTTCACATCGACGATGAATTTTTGTCTGAACTTGGGGTTTGTTGTCATAGTCTAGTGATTTACGTTTAATCATTCGATTTGATGTTCTTTTTGAAGAACTTATATTTTGTTCTAAATTATTTGATACATCACTTTTTCTTTTTTTTGTATCCCATTTTACTTGTATTTCTTGTTTATATTTAGTACTCTTAGGCATATTTCTAAAAAACAAAAATTATCATCATTAATTAACACATATTTACTACACTTAAAAAGAACTATAATATATTGCATAAATTCAATAAAATAATAATGATAAATTGCCAGAACCAGATATAAAATCTTTGCATAATAATTCCACTGTATATCACTTCCTCCCAAGAATCAGTTGAAAACATGACACTAACTGATATGTAGCTTAGAAAGTTCCATCTCAAACATTAAATAGAATACATTAAACAATTAAACAATTTAATATTTTTCTATTTCATTTCATATAGATGTAATTATAAAATAAGTAAAATGGAAAATATTATTTGTAATGTTCATTAATAAAATAGATTTTTGATAATATTTCTGAAAAGGGATAATCATTTTTTCAAACTGTAGGAAAAAAAATGAATTTTTAATATATATAAACTATCAAGAAATTCAAAACTAAGTTTTTTAGAATTTATCTTTGAGGATATGGTGTTTTTATGTTTTCATCAGATTTTATTTAAATTTCTTTTTTTCTATGCAGTTGTATCTCAAAGTTTGGGTGCTGTGATATTCTTTCACCCCAAAAATGTGAGAACCCAGACTAAATAATGAAAAGATACTTCTAAAAAAGGGGAAACAATGCCAAGATGTAGCTAATGTATGACCTGAGAGAGTTTTTCCTTTCACTTTTTCAGCATTGGGAATGACACCTTTCCTGTGAACTTTTGACCTCCCTGAGATATGATGCCGTTTTAAATACCAACAAATGACCAATTCAAGTCAGTCATTGTCCATTCCTCAAACAGTCTAGTCATGCCTGAATCTCACCTACTTCACTAACGAATACTTTGCCCATGGATATGGATATTTTTATGGATATTTTCATCCACTGTTATGCATTTCAAGAATGGACTATAGTGACAAGAACTTTCTATAAATGACCAGTCAATGAAATGATCGAGTCAACATATGATACTCCTGTCAACAAGCATCAGACCCTTAGAAACTCCCCTACAAGGTATTTAACAACTTGCAGTTTATTGTGAACTCTCTCTCTCTCTCATTCAGGGCTTCTAAAACTCTAACGACTCAGTATAATTGTCAGTGTAAAATTCTATATGTTTATTAAATGGGTATTTGTTTTGTTTAATTTGTATCAGAGTGCTTTTCTTCCACCACGCTGTCTCTTAGACCTCCTCCATCTTGAATCCAACCATCTACTCACATGACTGCTCTTGTGACCTAACAATAACATAAACAAACAGCCCTAGCAGCTGTGCAGTGTCTTCCATGTTGATGTAGTCATCGCTGATGCAATGTCAATCTTTGGTCAAGTGGTGAAGAAGTATAGGGGGCACTTCGCACATTATCACAAAAATGTCCAATTACTGTGAAATACATTTTTTTAATAATATTTTGTTTCATTATATATAGTAAAAATTTGATTGGAACAGGTATTACTTGCTTAATGCAATTTTGCTTAACATGAAAAATTAATTGCAGCAATCCCTTTACATGCACAGTAGTTTTTATTTACATGACTTTACCAGCTATCTTTACTTAACATAGATACCATATTTTGATTAATGTGATTTTGATATATGCAGTAGGCTTGAGAGATGTGCATTAATTAAGGGATACCTGTATTTATGTGATAAGTAGAAATCAAGAGATCATTTATGATAATGATAAAAAATTATTTTTACTTGTGATATAATGTAATCCCCATCTAATATTCTAGAGAAATTCACAAAAAATATTTTAATTAAAACATAAATTAAGCTAAAATTTAGTTTCAAACAAGTTAAATATTTATACTATCAAGATATACAAAAATCAGACAATATTGAATACACATTTAATGTAATTTATACAATTTTTATTTAATAAATGTAAATGACATTTCATTTACATTTATTGGCAGAAAATTAAAGTTTTATATATACTTTTTTGATCAAATGTTAAAAAAATCATAATATAAATCTCTCTCTAGCTCACCCAGGCGGATATCTGACATGGGAGACTCACCACAGCCCTGGCCACGTATGTCAAATCCCGAAGCCGAAGCGCAATTCGAAAAAGCTACTGTTATCATCAACACACCCCACCAAGAGTATCTCAGGTGGCTAGAGGCCACAGCTATCTACAGTGTCAACCGGCTAACCACGTACGTTAACCGGAAGGAAGAGCTGACTCTGTCTCTGGCCTGGCAATCACTGTTAGATGCCAACCCAGCACTTCCTCCCCCACCACATGACCGCGCATGTCAGAAAGGACCCACTCCGTCAGAATTGACACCCGATCCCAACAAATAGAATACACTCCATCCAAGGAATTCCAGTCAACCTGAAGAAGAGCAGAGAGATTGCTTGAAAATGTTTGTCAACAGCAATATACAGTATATATGCGTTGCGCTCCGGTTACAGGTTCCGAATAGTGTAGTGTAGTATACATTATGATATAAACAAAGAGAAAAATTCTACTTTATATTTTATAAACTTTACTCCAGTACTTATAATCTCTGTACTGGCAAATTAATCACCACTGTATAACCTAAACACTATCTATCCTACAGTATCCTCTTATATTTTTATCAAGTAACACTTTCCAGCCAGCTGAAATTGTAATATTTTGTCTATAATTTACTGCCTTCCCACGCTCTGTAGCCTTATGAATGTACCATGCTTAAGTATGCATGTATTAAGTAAATAGAAGCATGGCACATTCATAGGCTACAGAGACAGACATCTGTAATTTTCCAGTATTTCTTCTATATTGTAAATTGATATTTTCATTTTGAATCTTCATGTTTGGCTTACAGTTTATATAAATAAATTCTAATTAAAATTTTGAATACATATATGTTCTCTTGAACATAATACAGAAAACAAATAAACTAGGTTTCTGTTTGTTAATATACTATTTACAGTATATCCAAATCCATATGATTATATTGTTGCATTGAATTCCCTAGATATATACACTCATGTGCAAAACTTAAGGATAATGTGGTGTAAGGTATTTATGATAGGAAAAACAAGGAGAATTTTCCATACATGGATTGCATGTTGCATTGCAAATGGTATCAAACTGCAAACAGTGTGAGAAAAGGTACAGAGTGGGCAACATGGACGACAATTGAGAATAGTGTGAAAATCAGAAAATGTACCTATGTGTTAGTCCAGGAAACAAGGTGCAGCACAGGGACATTAATAGTGTGTGTGTGTGTGTGTGTGTGTGTGTGTGTGTGTGATCACCTCGCACTGCAAAACATGCACCACAATGTGAACGCATGCTGAGAACAAGGTTATCAAGAAGTGGCTGGGGTATGGCTTCCCATTCTTGGACCAGTGCTTCCCTAAGCTTGGGAATGGACCTTGGAGCCATTTGATGAGGTCATGCTTGGCAATCTGCCTGCCAAGCATGACCCATGCATGCTCTATTGCGTTCAAGTCTGGCAAGCAACTAGGCCAATCAAATCATCTGATATCTTCTGTTTCAAGGTACTCATCCACTATGCCTGCCTGATGGGGATGAGCATTATCATCCATCAGAATGAAATCACTGCCCACAGCACCTTGAAAAAGACAAACATATTGGTCCAGGATGGCATCACAATACACTGCACCTGTGATCGAACCCTGTGGGAAGACATGTAGGGGAGTGCGAGACCCCAGGATGATGCCACCCCACATCATGACTCTCCACCTCTATACTGGTCCAGTTCAGTAAAGTTCTCTCCAGATGAAGATACGTTGTGAATCACTGCTGAGACTAAATTTTACTTTTACCTGGATTCATCTGTAAAAAAGACATGACTCCATTGCTCCTGGGTCCATGTGTGATGTTCCCTGGAACAATTCAAACGAGCTCTTCTTTGCACTTGGTTTAATGGAATGCATCTTGCTGGTCTTCTGATATACAGGTGTTCCTCAGCTAACCATCTTTACACTGTAAACATTGAAATGTTGGTCCCTGTAGTAGCTGCAAGATCTCTAGTGAGATCCGACGCAGTGCTGTGTCTATTGCGTCTGGCTGTTAGGCGTAAGTAATGGTCCTCTTGGCCAGTGGTATATCTTAGACAGCCTCCGCCACACCTCCGAGTGACGTTTTCACTCTGCTGAAATTGTCACAAAACCCTTGAGATGACACTTTGGGGGACACTCAATGCATGTGACACTTCCACTTGTCACATGCATTCCATTTGGGTCTGACCTCTTCCAGTCGTCTGACTATTCGTTCACGCATAAAATCATCCAAATGGTGTGTCTGTGCCATTCTCCTACATGTGCACTACCAGTATGGCCACCAACACTGTGGTGTGTGTTCAATCTGTGATGCAACGAACACAACTATTAGTGTGTTGAAAGTGCGTGTGGCACATATCTGACTATAACGAGTGTTTAAAGTGCCACCAAGTGGTAGATTTGTGAATCAAGTGTGACACACAGTCAAGGACTCAAACTAGGAAACACTACATGCACTTACCACTGTTTCCCAACATGTTTTATGTGTAAATGCACATTATCCTTAAGTTTTGCACATGAGTGTATATACATATCCTTGGTGCACAAGAATAGTGACACAACTCAAAAAAATAATTCTTTCAGAACAGTCATTTAAAAGTTTCTCTTATTTCTGCAAGGCTTTGTCATGATCTTGGATTTTTAAAATTTTCAAATCTTTATTTCCAAAAAAGATTGAAAATTTTAAGATTTTCAATATCACAACAAAGCCTTGCAGAAATAAAAAAAACCTTTAAATGGCTGTTCTGGAAGAACTATTTTTTTGAGTTGTGTCACTATTCTTGTGCACCAACGATATATGTTATGTCAAATAATTTTATAAACTGAACTTTAAATTTCTGTTTGTATTAATGTTAAGCATTAATTGTTAAATAATTATTTAAACTTTCACAAAATAATTGTATATGTATTAACTTTTTCCTAAGAAATAAAATTTTAATTCAATGCAGTGTTCATTTCCTGTATATAATAAAATATTTAAGAGATAAACCAAA